TCTTAGCAGCTGACTCACCTCTCGGTCCCCCGCATGCCCTCCCGACCCTGTAGTCTAGATACTGTTGAACTCTCCTCCTGCCTCCACTTCCCAAGTGCTTGGATCACAGCCGTGAGCTCCAATGCCCTGCTGAAGTACTAATGTAGTTATTCAACAGCACGTCTGTCTTTTATATAAGACAGGGTCTCACTGTGTAGCTTTGTCTCTTCTGGAACTCATGTAGACCAGGCTGGCTCCAAAAGACATCCACTTGCCTATGCTTCCAAAGTGCAGGGATTAAAGATGTGTGCCACTAAGCCCTGGCTGTGACTAGAATTTTTAAATGATGAAATTCACAAGTAAAATTACTACACATTTTTAACCTACTTTTTTCCCCCTAAGTCTCCTGTAGCTCCAGCAGGTCTTGAACTCACTTATGTAGGCAGGAGTGACTTGAGCTGCGCTCCTGTCCCCATCTAAGTGCTAGCATGATAGTCTTTGGCACCAGGGCTGTTTGATGTGGTACTGGGTGAAGGCAGAGCTTTGCCTGTGCTAGGCAAGCTCTGCACTGGTGTATCCTTAGCCCCACGGTCAACAATGGCTTGGCTTAGCCAGGTGGTGGTGGCGCACGCTTTAATCCCAGCACTTGGGGGGCAGAGGCAGGCGGATTTCTGAGTTCTAGGACAGCCAGGGCTACACAGAGAAACCCTGTCTCGAAAACCAAAGAATGGTTTGGCTGAGGGTGCAGGTGTGTTCCAGTCTGACTCCTGGGTGAGCTGCAGCTCCCTATTGGTGATCCCATCTGGTAACTGGCATACTGTTGGTGTTTGGCACTTAGGTGAGGTAAGTGCATTATTTCATCTATATTTTCCACCTGTGGTTTTTTGTTTTTTGGAGTGGGGTGTAAGAACCCCATAGTAAATTGAGACATATCTGTATGTCCTCTGATAATATTTTTGTTTGTGACAATAGCCATTGATTGGTAGAAGAGTATAGAAGTAATTTTATGGGGAGGTTTCTGCCCCCTCTAGCCCATATAGCTCCTGAATAAAAGGCAGAAACCTGGTATTTTCATTAACAAGCTATAAGTCTAAATGGGCAGGTTCTGAGGTATTCCAACCTACAGCCCGGCCACAAGCCATGTTACGTTGCCAGCTGAGTCTTGCTGTGTTTGCTCTGTTGGCGGCTATCTTCCCCTCCCTTTCTTCTGGTGATTCCTACTGAGACCCCCTACTCCATCTCAAGTCCCGCTTTCCTCCCTCCTGCCCAGTCACAGGCACTAGCCTTTCATTATCCAATCAGAGTACTGGGGAACATTCTTTACAGCACATTGGCCAATACAATGCCCATGTCCAGACTGCATTCTGCACTTGGGCGCAGAACTCGGCATTTGGATTCACGACACACAAGACCAGCCCCAATAGAGGCATCATGGTTGTGGCTCTGTAGCTTTGCAGCAGGGTTGTGAACTGACAAGTGGCTAAGAGGAGGGGGTCTGGAGATGGGTGGGCCAGTTCTTGCAGGACTTCCACATTTCTGGGTCAGAGAGTCACTGCTCCTGGGAAACCTTCACTCCCAGGAAAACCCAGGATGGTGTTGGGTCATACTGCGGAAAGGGTCACAGAATAAGAGTACTTAACTGCCTTGTGCTGCCTGGAAGTAAAAGTGATCAGAACTCAGTCCACATGCCTTTAGGTGAACATCAGGCCTGAGCTGGGAATGGTTTAGATTTGAATGGAAGCTCATTGCTCTTCTTAGTTTGCCGCCCTCTATAAGAAGACTTCAGCAGATAAACTCAACAGCCAGCATCTCCTCAGCCTAATCTCTTCAATAACAATATTTGAAGATGGTTACTGTTATAAGCAGATAATGGTTTTGTTTGGAAACAAAGTTAGAAGTTTAATCTTTCCTGTTTGTAGTTTTAAAATTCAAATGGTGATATCTGTCTAGTCAACTCTTAGTACTTGTCCCTAAAGTACATTACCTAGTGGTTTCCTCTTGTCTTCCTTGTTGGTAAGCTTTGCTAGTCAGGGACACCTGTCTGTCAGCTTTCCCATAATTTCTTGGAGTTGAGACACAAATTTAAAAGAGGCCAGCCTGTTCTACAGAGTGAGTTCTAGGACTGCCAGGGCTACAGAAGAGAAACTCTGCCTTGAAAAACAAAGAAAAAAAGTCCTCCCCTGATTTCCTTTGTCCAAGAAAGCACTGTAAGTAGCCTATGTGCGTAAGATTGACAGGGACTCATGAGCTGTGTAGAAAAACTCTAAAAGCTTTTTTTTTTTTTTTAAGCTTGCCCTGTCTTAAATGACATACTGTTACATATTTGAATGTTTTTGATAATCCCACAAGAACCACCCGTTAAACATCACCAATCGGATTAAAAGACTCTGTCTGTCATTAAAAAGATTCAACAGGGCTGCTGGTCTCTAGCCCTGATTCCCAGCATGGCTGTGCTGTGGGTTTAGAGATGAGGTTCAGCTGGCAGGAGTACCTCCTTAGCATGTATGAAGTTGAGGGTTCTGATAACCAGCATTGCACACTGTACGGTGGTACACGTTGATAGGTGTGAGCCTGAAAACCACCACACTGAGGAAAGGGGGAAGGAGACCCTGAAAAATTGGTTTCTTTTAAATCTTAGAACTTTTGTTTTTAAAGTTATGTGTATTAGGCATTTTGCCTGCTTGTATGTATACACAGTGTGCCCGCCTGGTTCCTGTCGAGGCCAGTAGATGGCATAGCATCTCTTGGAACTGGAAGTAATACCCCCAAGTGCTCTTAATTGTTGAGCCATCTTTCTGGCCCCAGAATCAGATTTCTGTCCTTGGGTTATACTCATGGTTAGGATGATCATAACATGCATTTTATACTAACCACTAACCTCACAGCAGGTTTGAGGTTTTTCTTTGATTTTTTTTTTTTTTTTTTAAGACAAGGTCCCAGGTGGGTGGCCTTCAGTGTTCAAATATGCTGATCTTATAGATGTATTACCTGGCTAAAATTACTGACCTATACGTTACTTTTCTTGAACCCAGGATTTTACGTACGCTAGGAAGCACATAATCACTGAGTTACATCCCCAGTGAGGTAGATCATTAGCAACCCATTTCAGGGCTGGAGAGATGGCTCAGAGGTTAAGAGCACTCACTGGCTCCTCTTCCAGAGGTCCTGAGTTCAATTCCACCACATGGTAGCTTATAGCCATCTATAAGATCTATCAGATCTGGTGCTCTTTTCTGGCCTGTATTAATGTATGGCAATACATTAATAAATAATCTTAAAATCTTAAAAAAAGAAAGCCTGTTTCAGAGATGAGAAGACAGGATCCAGAGGGCTCTCTTGACTTGCCCAAGTAGATGGAAACACTCACTAAAGCAAATATCTGAGTCTGTCTGGTGTTAATTCTTGAATTCTCATGGGTGATACAAATATTGCCCCGTCCCAGAAAGGCTTTGGTTTTTGGTTTTGTTCTTGAGGTACTAATTCTAAAGTTGCCTGCCTGCTTTTCAATTTTTCAAGACAGGGTTTCTCTGTATAGTCTTGGGTGTTTTAGAACTTACTCTGTAGACCAGGCTGGACTCAAACTCAAGAAATCCTGCCTCTACCTCCTCAGTGCTTCAATTAAAGGCATGTGCTAACCCCCGCCCCCAACCAGGCTAAAGGAGTTTTTCTTTGTGAGCATGAGTTAGACATCATAATCGGTTGCACTGTGACAGCTTTACTAGCTAAGGAATTTGTTTTGCTTGTGTATAACTAAAAATTTTACATGCTTAGTTGAAAAGATACTTGATTTTTGCTATCACACTGACAGTGTCAATATTACTTTTATATGCCATGTGATGTAATACATTAAGAAATTTGTCACAATCCACTGAAATATGGGAGAACCATTCACATTTTGCATTATTCATTTCTTTTGCTACTGCTTTTGCATTACATTTTCCCCATAAAACTTTATCCTAATAAATGTTTATGAAAATCTGTTCTTGATTTTTGGGGTCTTTTTGCAATACTTATGTTAACTTTGTCAGAGCTCTCAAGCATCATAGTTTTCCTACCTTATTAAAATTGTTACCATTTTCTGTTTAGATAATAGCACCTGTCATTCACTGGAATTTGAAGTCAAGTCGACAATTTTAGAAATGTATCTCTTAACAGGTAGATTTAATGGCCCGTGTCAAAAAGGCTATACTCTCAATTTAATTGTCCTTCATGTGGCTTGTCTGAAGCCTTAAAGGCTATTTAAATGCAGCAGACCAAATGTCGGGTAGCTGAGAGACACTACTGTTTGTACAGTCACGGCAGGCTTGTGACAGTTGGTTTATGACTCTGCTACCGACTCCTTGGGAAACTTGGGTTCCTTTGGGTTATAGGGATTGCAGCAGGGACCCAGCATCTTTGCAGAGAGCTGGAAAGAAAGGCCACACACTTGCCTTGGCAGTGCTAGCAGGCACAGTGTTGGCAAGATGTCACTGTACGGGTATTCTCTGGTACAGTCAATGAAGGCACAAAATGAATGTTCCATTTTAGTGTATGCAAAGTAGTACTGTAGTACTGGATACATATACACACACACACACACACACATGAAAGGTGGGAGACCCTTGGCAGAGTCAAGGGGTAGGAAGCAGAGCTATGCTTAAAAATCAGACCATGAAGGTAATTATCTTAGGTCTTTTTTTCCTTTTCTTTAATTTTATGTGTTTGTGTTATGAGTGGTGCACAAGTCATGCACATAATATACAGTGTGTTTGTAGGGAGACTGACTTTCTCAATGTTACAGATAGAAAATACATTGCTGCCAAAATATACATCTCTTGTAACACAAGTGTTGTATGGCTCTTAAGCCGGGGCCATGATTTCAGAGTTAAGAGTGGTGTCTAAAGTCGGCCTAGTCTTTTTGCTAAGATATTCTGTATGTTCAGATGGTTAACTGTTCTTTAAACTAATGAAACATTTTCCTTTTGAACTTTGAGGATGTTGAAAACACCATACTCAGAACTGTTATCCAGGTAGCGACATAATTAAGAACTGAAAGGATCATTATGACATTTATTTGTTTTATTTTGAGACAGTCCTGCTGTGTTATTGTTGGCCTCAAACTGGGCAGTCTGCCTCTGCTTTCCCAGTGCAGAGATGGATGGGTTTCCCTATGTAGCCCAGGCTAGTCTGGAACTTAGAATCTTCCTGCTTCAGCTTCCAGAGTCCTGAGATTCCAGGTGTGTGTCCCATGTGCACTGACAGTTCCTCAACTTGAGTTGAGTAAGAGTCACTAGTACTGAATGCTGGTTTCATTGGTTGCAGAACTTGACTTCTCTTCCCAGTGGTGCTTTCATGATCACACAGTCAGAAGAAGACTCTTCCTAGCTCGAACATTACCTTAGGAAAATAGCAAGTGAGAGTTACTACTTTCATGGTAGAACTGAATTATAAGGGGGAAAAAAAAAAGAAAAGGGTTTTTACTTGGCTCACAAACCCCTGATGATTCTTCCTTGTGTTAAGTTGACAAAAGTAACAGCACAGCCATGAAGGCCGCTGACTGAAGCCTGCTCTTAATGATGTGTCCCTGGAGGAAGCACTGCCTTCCTCACCAGGCTGCAAGGCTGAGGCGCAGTCAGATGAGTGGGTGTTAGGCTCCACACGGCAGATTTACAATTAAAAGGAGCCGGTGCTGTCTTTAAACTACGGGCCACACTTAATGCATTTGTGAGTCAGTCATGTGAAGCAGCTACTCTGAAGGAGCTCAGGGCTGCTGCTGACCTCGATGGTGATGAGAATGACAATCATCCACTCCAGGCGGAGTGCTCGCTTCTCAGTGAGGTGATTCCGCATGAGGTCTGTTAGTTCCATGCAGTGCTGAAGTTTTTCATTCATGACCTGCAGGAAAAATCTTAGTGTCATGCGTTTATACTGAAAGAGAATACAGGTAAGAAAAACATACTAGGTTATCAAATTCTTGCTGCTTAGTCCTCTAAGATGACCAGCCATTAGCAAAGTGTTTAATGACTCCATCTAGAAACATTTTTGTAATGCAGCTTTGCTTTATTGTGTATGTTTATGTGTGTATGCCTATAGGGGCCAGAAAGTGTCAAAACCCCTCAGAGCATTTGTGAACTAGCCATTTTTTGTTTTGTTTTTTTGTTTTTGTTTTTTTGAGACAGGGTTTCTCTGTATAGCCCTGGCTGTCCTGGAACTCACTCTGTAGACCAGGCTAGCCTCGAACTCTCAAACTCAGAAATCCGCCTGCCTCTGCCTCCCAAGTGCTGGGATTAAAGGCGTACTCCACCACAGCCCGGCACAGGAAATAACTCTTACTGAAGCCATCTCTCCAGCACTCATTATTTTGAGATGGGGTCTCATGTAACCTAGGGTGGCCTGCAGTCTTCTTTCTCCCACCTCCGGGAATGCTGGTATTTCATGAACTGCCACATCTAAACAGTGCTCGCGACTGAACTTGAGTCTTGATGGGCAAACTACTAAATCAGTCCTTGTTCCCTTTGTATTGCAGTTTCAAAAAAAAAAAAAAACACAAACAAACTTTGCATACTAATCCATGACTGAGAGTTCCCTAGCATTTTGTTAGGAGAACTTGAAACTTTATTAAGCATGACATAGACTGCTCTGGCACAGGGGTCATGTTAATCTCCATAGTTGGAGTTTTGGTATGTATGCTGAAGTAAGGCTTTTTACTGAAATGTGTACCTTTAACAAAAACTCGCCACCAGATGGCACCACTATTAGCCAAACTGGCAAAGGTTCTTGCTTACGAATCCTTGGATAAACTGGTTGTAGTGGGGTATGGATGGGTGTTACACCAGATAGAATCTGACTTTAAACCTGAGTATGAGTACAGCTATGTACCTACTTAGAACCTGTGCACTTCTGAAAGCTGCAAAGTCAGGGAATACTTTTAGTTAGTGCAGGTTCAACCAATATGAGCTGCAGTCTAGGCATGGTCTGTAGCATCTTAGCACGTCATACTTGGGGTCTGGCACAGAACGTTTAACTGCTTTACCAATGAGGGCCAACACAATGCACCAGTTGATAGAGGCAGTTTAGGGTGGCACTGTGGTCCTTTTTTGTCTCTGTCTACTGCTTAGTCTTGGCCTCTAATGTGTTCATCTTTTAAGATCCTCTCTCCTGATAGCCTTCCATTTCAACTATGACCTCAGAACAGAGAACATGTTCTCTCCCAACTTTATTGCTTTAAACAATTTGTGCAGTGTTACTATAACAAGCCTCCTGGGGCCCGGAAAGGGCTCAACAATATGAGTGTTATTGTTCCTGCAGAGGACAACCTAGGCTGTCCCCAGTACTCCTATCAGGCAGCTCACAACTGCCTTGAACTCCATTCCAGGAGTTCTGATGCCCCCTCAGTTTCTTTGGTTCAAAGCTGGATTGACCCAAGCTTTTGGGACAGGCTAAAGCAGTTTCAAAATCAGGAAAATAAAATGTTTCCCTTTTTTTTGTTTTTTGTTTTGTTTTTCGAGACAGGGTTTCTCTGTGTAGCCCTGACTGTCCTAGAACTCACTCTGTAGACCAGGCTGGCCTCGAACTCAGAAATCCACCTGCCTCTGCCTCCCAAGTGCTAGGATTAAAGGCGTGAACCACCACTGCCCGGCTAAAATGTTTCCTTTTGAAATCTAATCACCTGTTTATTCTACAAATACAGTAGTCATGGGGTTTACACAGTAACAGGGAGTAACTGCTGGTTTAATGGATACCTAAGAATGTTGGTGTGGAGGGCCTGGAGATCACGTGGAGACCCAGGAAGGGAAGTGGAACTCGATGAGTGTCGTAAAAATTACCAAACATGCTGGTGGTGCAGGCAGCATAGACAGCCCTGAGCCCACTGCTTGATCTAATCAGTTCATCAAGCTTATGTGGGACAGGCCGAGTCCAGGAGAAGCAGCCTACATCTTGGTGGCAGACATACTACATCTCGTAATGGCCACTACAATGAAGCACACCAAGAGACATCCGAAAGGGAAACTGGAAAACTTTAGTATGGCTGCACCTAAAAACTTGTCACAAGAGGCTTTATTTCCAGGGTAGTGGAGACAGTTTACATAACAGGCACCCCTTCTAAGCACTGTACTCCTGCTATATAACCACTCAGCACCACAGTCCACTCGTTCCTCTGTAGCCTGTCATCCCACCTGCCAGCCACGTTCCCCACTCTTAGGGACTTACTTCCTTTAGAGACTGGGTCTCACGGAGCCCAGGCTGGCTTCTAACTCACTGTGTAGCCAGGGTAGTGTGAGGATATGTGGGTCAGTGTTTACAAAGTAGACTGCTAAAACTCAATTTTCTCAAAGCCATTCTGACAGGCAGAATTCTAAGATACCAGCTAAAAGTTCCTGATTTGGGGCTCGCTAATGTTATCCCCTCTCTTGGAATGTGGTGGGCCTCCTGACTTGTTTTAAACAGCACAGCAAAAAGGATGAGTTACCTGGGCCTGTGGCTAGGCTCTAAGATACCACCTCATGTGCTGTTCACTCTAGCGCTCTTACCATACACGCAGTAGTTGGTAGTTAGGCTGTGCAGAAACTTCTGTGGTGAGGAACTGAGACCTTAGTGCAACAGCCTTGGGGGGACTGAATCTAGCAACCTCCAAGTGAAAAGGCAGGAAGTGGATCCTTTCCAAGCAATCCACGGTTGCCTCTCAGCCTTGTGAGGTGTCCTGACCCTGAAACTAGGAGAAGGCTGCTGTAAGTTGCCAGTTCTAGGGAAACATTGTACCACAGTCAGCTGATGCCAGTGCTAAAGAGGCCTTATTGACACAGAACTTTGGTCTCTTCCTCACATCTTCAGCCTGGGTACTCTCCAGGAAAGCTATACCTGTTTGATCTGTCCAGACGACCTGGATTAGCAAGTGTCTCAGACATCTGGAATATGGAACTATCTTGATTGGTCTACCAAATAGGCCCTCCAACACCAACAATCAGTCTTTCTGAGACAGCTAAAGTTGAATGGTTTGGAATGGCTGTCTTCGCCTGACATTTGGCAAGTATCTCTACTTTCCTGCATTAGAAGATGCAAAGGAACACCAAGATGAGCGAGGACTGTGGGTTCTTGTGGTGGGATTCTTAATGCAAAGGACAAGTGTCTGTGTTGGAGAAAAGGATATATTCACAGCTCTCAGTGAACGGTGCAGGGTTTTTAAAGGAGTTGCATCATTTGCTGGATGGGACATGAGATGACTGAGAAGCGAGGGAAGTAACATTGAGAAGAAGGTAGGACAGGACACAGCTGCACTCACTACTCTAGGCAAGGAAAGATTAAAAGTTAACAACAAAAGACCTTTCCGGCTGTTAAGATGGGTAGAGGTGCTTGCTGCTAAGCCTGACAACCTAACTTCAATTGTTAGTCCCGCTGGGCGATGGTGGCGCACGCCTTTAATCCCAGCACTTGGGAGGCAGACGCAGGTGGATTTCTGAGTTCGAGGCCAGCCTGGTCTACAGAGTGAGTTCCAGGACAGCCAGGGCTACACAGAGAAACCCTGTCTCAAAACCCACCCCCACCCCCACCCCCCCAAAAAAAGAATTGAGTCCCAATAGTTGCTCTGACTTCCACATGCATACCCTAGCAGCAAGGTGCTCACCCACCTACTCCACACTTGATAAATGTAAAGTCAGCAGTATGCCTGGACAGGTGAAGCAGGTACTAACTGGGCAACAGAGACAGTGGCAGCTGGGGAGATGGCTCAGCTGATAAGGTGCTTCTCATACAACCATGATTTCAGGTCATTAGCACCCAGATTAAAAAAATATCTGGGCATAAGGGCTACAAGATGGCTTAGCAGGTAAGGGCACTTGCTACTAACCCTGCCAACCTGGGTTCAATTCTGAGAAACTCAGTGGTGGGAGGAGAATGTTTCCTAGTCTGCACATGCTGGCACTAATGCACACACAGATTAGCAAATGTAATTAAGAGGGGAAATGGGTACAGAAGCAAATGCCCATAATCCCAGAGCTGGGGAAGGGGTTGGAGATGGAAGGAAGGCCCCTTGCCGCTTTTGCTAGCCAGCCAGTCTTAGGAAACTAGTGAGCTTGTTCACAGTAAGAGAGACCCTGTCTGAAGAGTATGGAGGAGTGGGTAGGAGAGATGGCTTAGCAGTGAGGAATGCTTGCTGCTCTTCTGGAAGACCTGAGTTCAGAGTTAGGTTCCCAGCAACCACACTGGGTGGCTTCTAACAACTGCACAGGCACCTAAACATGTGGCACACACAGATAACAAAATCTTTTTAAAGGTGGTCAGCCACAGAGCCACGCTACCCTCTAGTGTCTACAATGCATGTGCACATCTATATGTATGTGTACAACAAACACAAGCATATATCACATACATCACAAGTAACACACAAAGGAAGGAGCATGTTTAACTTCTTGAGAGGCTGAGGCAGGAGAATTCCCAAGTTCAAGTCCAGCCTGGCAATATAGTGAGACTTCTCCCCAAACAAGGAAACAAGCATTAAAAACAGGAAAATCTCAGAACACAGAAAGAAATCTTTGACACGGAAAGCTGAGAAGTGGAACCAAATACAACTCATGTTTGTAACCCAAGGACTAGGGCTAGGACAAGAGGATCATGAGTTTGAGGCCAGCCTGAGCTACAGTGTAATACTTTTTATCTGAGCCCCCTCTTGTAGCCATGTTTTCTACTTTCCTTCTGGTGGTTAAGGCAGTCCAGCTTGGTCTTGAGCTCAAAAGCAACTGTCCTGTCAGTCTCCTGAGAAGAGACTAGGAAGTAACAGCAGAGAGGACAGGAGGAACTGAGAATCCAAATAATATTTCTCCAGATGCTGAAAATTTCAGTCATACTAACTGTAGCAGACAGAGAATGTGTTTCCCCACAAGCCCTGCCCAAGAGGGTTTCTATGTGTAGCCCTGGCTGTCCTGGATCTCAGAGATCCGCTTGCTTCTGCCTCCAGAGTGTTGGGATTCTAGGCGTGCACCGCCACCAGCCCATGTACCTTAACTCTTCGAGTGATGCTGAGGAACTGGCAGGTCTTGTCATAAAGCTCCTCCAGGTTCGCTCTGTCCCAGTAGAAGTCAGGGGTGATCAAGAAGTCAGAGCTCAGGTTTATTCGGTGCCTAAAGAAAAAAAAGGACAGATTAGCTTCTATTTATGGTGAATTAAAAATCAGCTACTATAGCCCATGTTTTCAGTGTAATCTGAGCACACTCTTAAAAGTCACTCTTCAAAAAATATTGGAGAAGTGTACTCATACACATCTGTGCACCCCAAAACAAAACCAGGAAGAAATAAGGTACCACCAGTAAACCTCACTTTTATAGTTAGCTCCAGCTTTCCCTTCTCACTCCTTGACCACCTTTAAGGTAGCTCCAGATCCTTCCAGTCATTATGCAAACACAAGACAGGCAAAAATACACTCTGCTTTCTTCTGGCTTTGTAGGTTAGCCTGGCCTGGAACTCACTATGTAGCTCAGCTAGCTTAGCACTGGGATCTGCCGCCTCAGTCTAGTATATGAAGAACATGAGGGTGTGTGTGCTGCCACACTGGCTCTCTCTTAACTTTATCCTTTTGTATTAGATGTCTCAGCTTACTTTTTTTTTTTTTTTTCCTCAAGACAAGGTTTCTCTGTATAGCCCTGGCTGTCCTGGAACTCACTCTGTAGACCAGGCTGGCCTCAAACTCAGAAATCCACCTGCCTCTGCCTCCCAAGTGCTGGGATTAAAGGCGTGCACCACCACCGCCCGGCTTTCAGCTTACTTTAAAATGACTTAGTTTAATGGAACTTGATATTGCAGTGTGCTGGATGGGTTTGTGTGGCAACTTGACAAACTAGAGTCATCAGAGAGGAAGAGCCTTAGTTGAGAAAATGCCCATGAGATCTAGCTGTAAGGCATTTTCTCAATTAGTGATTGACACGGGAAGGCCTAGCCCATAGTAGGTGGTGCCATCCCTGGGCAGGTGGTCCTGGGTTCTTTAAGAAAGCAGGCTGAGCAAGCCATGGGAAGCTAGCCAGGAAGCAGCACCCTCTACAGCCTCTGCATCAGCTCCTGCCTCCAGGTTCCAGCCCTGTGTGAGTTCCTGTCCTGACTTCCTCCAATGATGACCTATGATCTGGAAGTGTAAACCAATTTACCCTTTTCTCTCCAGCTTGCTTTTCGAACATGGTGTTTTGTAGTAGCAATAGAAACCCTAACTAAGACATAAAATAAATACAAGTAGCTGTTCATTCTTTTAACATATGTTGGAGAAGAAAGCAGAAATATGGTGGTGAGTCTGTTTAACCTACCAAACAATGCAAAATGCTTTACTCTCTAAGGATAAGGCAGGCCTGCAAACACTTTGGTATGGTTTTCTGTATATTTCTCCATGTACAGGTTTGTATGTATGTTTATATTAAAAGAAATAAAAAGCCGGGCAGTGGTGGTGCACGCCTTTAATCCCAGCACTTGGGAGGCAGAGGCAGGCAGATTTTTGAGTTTGAGGCCAGCCTGGTGTACAGAGTGAGTTCCAGGACAGCCAGGGCTACACAGAGAAACCCTGTCTCTAAAAACCAAAAAAAAAGAAAGAAAGAAAAATATTTTTTGCTATGCAAATTGAATACCATATAATAATTTGCACCTTGATATTTTGTTTTTGGGTTTTTTTGTTTTTTATTTTTATTTTTATTTTGAGACAGAACCTCACTAACCTGGAACTTACTGCATACACCAGGCTGGCCTTTGCTTCCTCCCATCTTCCAGAGCAATAGGATTAAAAGATATGCACCTCCATATCTGATAATTTTTTTCTTTTTCTAAGACAAGGTCTCAGCTAGGCATACTGGTGCATGCTTTAATCCCAGCACTTGGAAAGCAGAAACTGGAAGATTTCTGAGTTTGAAGACAACCTTGCCTACAGAATTTAGTTCATCTTGGAAGAAAAAGAAAGGGAGAGAGACAAGGTCTCTTGTAATCTGCCCTGCCCTCAAACTTATTTACTAGCTTAAGAATCATCTTGAACTTCCGATCCTCCTGCATCCTGCTTCCATGAAGTGCCTGGGATCAAAGCCAGGATTCTGTGCATGCTAGCCAGACATGCTACCAACTGAGTGACAACTGCAGGTCCAAGACCTAACTTTTTACCTAAGATACTTAGCTTGGTTTCTTTTCACACCTCTTTTTCTTTTTAAAAAGGGTTTATTTTGATTTACATGTGCATCTGTGTGTGTGTGTGTGTATATATATATATATATGTCTCTGTGTGTGTGTGTGAGCGCGCGCGCGCATACACACACACACACACACACACACACACACACGTGCTCAGATGTCTAGAGGCCAGAAGAAAGTGTCAGATCTCAGTTGGAGGTACAGGTGGCTGGGAACTGACATGCTGGTAACCAGACTCAAGTCCTCTTGGAGAGCAACAAGACTCTTTTTTTTGTTTTGTTTTGTTTTTCGAGACAGGGTTTCTCTGTGTAGCCCTTGCTGTCCTGGAACTCACTCTGTAGACCAGGCTGGCCTCGAACTCAGAAATCCGCCTGCCTCTGCCTCCCAAGTGCTGGGATTAAAGGCATACTCTACCACCGCCTGGCCGCAATAAGACTCTTAATTGCTTTTTAGTCCTATTCTTTTTCTTTTAATAAAGAATTATTATTGCGTGTGATGGAAAGCATGTACAGGTGAGAGGACAGCTTTGTAGATTGCCTGTGTGTTTCCAAGAGATCAAACTGGTTGCCAAGTTTACTGGCAAGCGCCTCACCAATGAGCCAACTGCTGGCCTGTTACACTCTTTTTACTAATACATGGGCACTTCCATTGTAAAGATTAAAACAACATGGTAAGGAAAGTCAGGCTTTGTAGAAACCATTCAATTTGAGAATTAAATCTATTTAGTCCTAACTTTTGAGTTTGGGTGCTATAATTTGCTTATAGATTATGCTTGTATTAGTTAGAGAATGGGAGAAAACAATCTCTCCTACTTTCCCAGAACACACAGTCTATGTGGCACTATTGTTGGATGCTCTTTATGAATGAGTATGAATGAGTATCCCTGCAGTCCGAGAAACACAGATGCTGAAATACTGGACCACTCTCCTGTGGTTGGTCTAAGCTTGTGGAAAGACAGTTTTCAGAAAAACACGGACAAGGAGCTCTGGGCTCTTCATTCAGGAGGAAACTGGATGACACTGCTCAGTGAGACCTCCACAACCAGGATGCATCCCTCCACAAAGATAGGAACTCAGGACAGTTAAGTGACAAGCTCTCCTTCACCTGTACCACTGTACAGTGTCAGCCCCAGTAAAGAAGAGTAAAGCTTCCTGGAACCGCTGTCCTGTTTCCTGGTGGGTCTTGTGCTGAGTGACAGGTTTAATGTAGATGACTCTTGCTCTTCTGAACCCATCAGATTTCCTAACAGTCTTAACAGAGCCTGCCTGCTCCTCACAGAGGTAGGGACTGGTGGGTGGAGGACATTTTTCGTGCTTATAGTAAATGTTTTGTCTTAAAGGAAATCCTTCATTACAAAAGAACATTTTACCTGAGGGCAAAGAGCTCACCCATTTTCTGCATAACTTCTTTATGAGACAGTTTGACTTTCTTCCCAGCTTTTAATGCCTGTTTGGGAAAAAAAAAACAAAAAACAAAAACCCAAAACCACATACACAACAGTCCGAGTATGTGGGGTGTGCCTTTGTGGATCCCATGAACTACAGTCAGAAAGTATTAAGAACCACACCTCTGCCAGCAGGCACATTCTCTTTCTCTGTTCTACAGACATCACAGCAAACACTGACATTTTAGACAAAGATGACCATGCCCAGCTTCTGTACCCTGGGTAGGGATGACTCCTGGAACAGTCAGTCAATCCTCCAGGCACCAGGGGAACACTGCACAACTGCTTTCTAATAATCAGTGTAATGTTAGATCTATGTAGCCAGTTCTCTAGGGTCACTTCACTTCTCTGAATAGCTTAGATGACTTGCCCAGGCGAAATGTCTTAACTGTCTCAAGAGTTCCGAACTGTATTACCCTCCAGCTTCTCATTCCTTCTGCTACTGCCCAGACTGTGAGTGGCCCCCAGAGACCATCTGTCCAAGACTTTATTCACAACTTGTATCACTGGGAAACGGTTAACACTTAGAGGTGGAGCCAATGGGAAGGTGTTAGGCCACTGGTTCCACAGCTTTGAAGGGCCACTGGGATCCTTGTGCCTCCCTTCTCGAGGCTCCCAGGCTGCTACGAAATGAGTACCTTGTCTCAGCAGGTACCCCTAGCCACAAGGTGCTGCCCCACCAAGGCCTAAACCAATGTACCTACTTCAATATAGAACAAACCTACCAAACTGTGAACCATAATAACTCTTTCCTCCTAAAATGTTGGTTATCCCAGGTTTATGTTTACAGAAAGAAAAAAAAATATATCCTTTTTAGTTTTTTCAATGATAAACATTCCTCATCTCTCATTTTAAAGAGGTTTATTTTTATTTTATCTGAGTATTTGTTTGCATGTATGTCTGTGCACCACATGAGTGCCTAGTACCAGTGAACACCAGACTCGGGTATTGGATTCACTGGAACTGGGGCTACAAGCAGCTGTGAGCCGCCACATGGGAACCCAGGCCATCCGTAAGAGCAGCAAGCGCTCTCAGTCACTCGCATATCCATCTCTGCAGCCCCATCCCTTATCTCTTAACTGAAAAGTGGGTTCTTTTCCCAACATCGGTTAATCGTAGTATTCTGTACGGCCAAAACCTGGGACTCTGTAAGTGCGTTACCACTGGACTCCACCCAGCAGTGGTGTCCTCCTCTGAATCACACTGAAAGCACTGCAGTCACCACAGAGTCTGTTCAAGTTCTCAAGTCACAACCAATGTGGAATTGCTGACCGTCACTTCACCACTTTCCGTGTAACTGGAGTGTCTTTGCTATGGTCTCTGTGGCTCTTCTAGCTACTATCTATATTCAGATATGCATATTGTTATGTTGAGCAGTCAGTACTTTCCCCCAAGAAGCCAGTAACTGATAAAAAGCAGAGAGCTGATATAATTACCTCTGGAATGGACTGAATAGACTCAATAAACTTGTCCAGGGTCGCTTCCCAAATAGCCAGCTTCACTGGGGAAAAAGAGGGAAGGGGGAAGTTTTCTTACCACCATGTTCACATGCTCACAGACCGCACCGCGCATGGTGCCTCTGTTGCCTGCTCACTAAGAGGACAGTGTGCGGCTGGGCATGGAGCTCAGACCTGCAACCTGAGCTCTGATGATGTCGAGCCTGACCTGGGCTAGAGAAATGATGTTTTCACCCTCTTAGTATGACTCAGACGTGAGAAGGGGATGAACTGTCACATGATAGTTTTCTTAGTCAATTCATTATTTTATTTATTTACTTACTTTTAGTTTTTTGAGACAGTGTTTCTCTGTTGCTGTCCTGGAACTTAGTCTGTAGACCAGGCTGGCCTTGAACTCACAGAGATCTGCCTACCTTTGCTGTCTGAGTGCTTGGATTAAAGGTGTGCACCACCCTGGCCCAACAATGGAATTTTTAGTAATTTTAATACAAAAAAAAAAAAGGAAGAAAAAGAAAAGCCAAAAACGAAAGTGTCAAAGCTAAAGAAGATAATGCAGCAGGAAGGGAAGGAGGGCGGGCCCAACTCCTACGTCAGCTGGCAGGACACATGTGTAGCTCCCAGGATTTCATATTTTCTCATGTCTCAAAAACCCAGAGGGTGCAAGTCACACCGAGCCCTTACAGTTAGTGCTGTGGGTGAGACAGGGGTTAGACTTTCAGGGCCTTTCCTATAGTCTTCCAGGCTGTGAGTGAATCACAGCACCTCAGAGGCTGCACAAAGGAAGCCCTTTCAAAGCACCCATGGTTTCCGGATCTCTGGACACGGGGCTAGGCTGTCTCTGAATTGAGTACCGAGTAGAGCAGCCGCTGAGAGGAGAGAACAAAGGCAGTTCAGGAATATGAAGTACACTTTGGACAAGTGGAGCTTTAACAGTACAGTAACAAGGAACGAGCAACCAGCCAACAATAGAATTAACACATTTTTAAAGAGAAAAGGAATATTAGGGCTGTCCTGAGAATCCGAAATCATTATCCAGTGCTTAATAACATGGTCTCTCTGTCATCTGCAAAGCAGCATACTTTACCTGAGAGGCAAAGAGCGTTGGAGAAAGCAAACTTCTCTAGAATGGAGTCATCCAAGTCCAGCTCAGAATTTAGCTTGATTTCCCCTCTGTGCAGCTTTGATTGTCCCCTGTGAAAAGAAGAGAGAGAAAAGAACAGAAAAGAAAAAACATGTTCAAAATCTTAAAAGCAGCTGCTTTCCTGAAAAAAAAAAAAAAAAAAAAAGACCTTACCATCTTTCTAGAAGCCACTTTGACAATTTTTTTCTTTGAGACAAGGTTTCTCTATGTAGCCCTAACTGTCCTGGAACTTGCTCTATAGATTAGGCTAGCCTAGAACTCACAGAGATCCACCTGCCTCTACCTCCTGAGTGCTGAGATTAAATGTGTGTGTTGCTAGCCTGGCATCAATTTTTTTATTACATTTTATGTCTCCTACTCTTTGACCCACATAATTCTATTCCTAGGAATTAACTCACAAAAATATTGTGTACCATGAACTTTTTTACTACATTTTGCCAGTGTCACACTGTAGCCTAGCTAGCTCAAACTCATGGGAATTCTCCAGACTCATCTTCTGAGTGCTGGGGTTACAGGTCTGAGTACAGCCACTATGTGGGTGCTGGGAACTGAACCAGGTCCTCTGCAAGAGCAACAATTGCTCTTGACCATTGAGCCTTCTCTTCAACCCCACAGTAAAGCTTATTGTCAAAGGTTCCATCAGTAAAACATCAGGGAAAAAGATGACTCAATAGAAAGATATAGTGGATTAGGAATTCCACAGAACAAACAGGCTAGACCTCACGGCCTAAGTGTGTAGTCACAGCACTGAGGCCGAGTAGGGTCTCAAACTACAGTGAGAAACTCAGCTAGGCTGTTGCCTGCCCATGCTTCCTCCTCTGAGCATGATGTCAGGCCCTCACAGTTCTCAGGGTGGTTCTCTTGTATCCCCTCATTATACTTCTGTCATAGTCAAAGTCAACTGGAAAAAACATGGGCTTACTTGTTCCTGGAACAGTCTGATAAACTCATCTTGATGAAGGTCTGCCACGGTGTTAACTTAGGTTGCTTACAAAGAATATGCTTTTAATTTTGCAATAATACTTCTATTTGGTTGAATTAGCTGATTCCATGAGAAGTTAAACACAAATCCTGTTCTTTGGGGTGGGTGCTGGGGTGTGTACCATTAGCTTAAAGGCTCTCCTTATATTTGCAATGATCTCTGCTTGGCTTCCCAGCCCTCCCACCTTCTATGTGCATGTGCAGAGAAACTGCTTACTCTGTTTTTACGTAGTTCAGCTCTTCGTTCTCCCAGTAGACCAGAGCCACTTCATAGGGCTGTGTTTCGTGTCTCCCCAGGACTTGCATCACATGCTTCATCTAGGAGAGAGGGACATTGACTTGTGTCACACCAACTCCCTCAGAACCCATGTGGGTCTGTCCATTCATGACGCCTCCCACGATTTTAGCGGTATGTTTACTGGGTCTTAGCTTTTAAGGAAAAGGCAAGTTCATTGTGACAAGTAAACTAACCATTGGGATATTTATTTATTTTGACATTTGAAAAGAGCAGATGAGCATAAAAAAGAAAATAAAAATTAACACTATCCAGCAATTGAAAGAAAATTACTCCTAACATTATAATTTATTTGTTAAGTCTCTTTAAAAAAAAAAAACCCTACAGACAAATTACTTGTAAAAACTAAAGCAACAGGGACTAGAGAGATGGCTCATTGGTTAATTGCGTTTGTTGCAGAAGATCTGGGTTCATTTCTCAGCACCCACATGGTGGCTAACTGTAATCCAGTTGCCAAGGATCTAATGCCATCTTCTGACTTCCTTAGGCACCCAGCATTGACCCACTGCATATACAAAACACTCACATACATAAGCTAAATTTACGAAAAGCTAAAGCAACATACAGGTGTAGAAAACGATCCTATTTCTGATCCCGAGGTAGCTGTGACTGAACTTAGTGACTATCCTTTACACAGTTGTTTCTGCAGGGCTAAGGACAGACCTCACATGCATTTTCTATGAGTATATGTGTAATTTTGTTTTTTTATGTGACTGAGATTATATTATGTTATAGATTTGGTTAATTGCTTATATTATGTTAATTGGGTTCCTGGATTACACGGATACTCTCATGTCTGAGTGTTAGACGCTGATGGTCCCTGCCCAGAGCTAGTTCTAATTCGCAAATAAAGTTGCTGGCAGCCAATAGTTGGGCAGGGAGACAGAGGCGGGACTTTGAGGTTCCTGGGGCAGGGGGAGGGGGAGGAGAAGAACTTGAAGAAGAGGAGAATTGCCATTGCCCAAAAAAGGAGAAGGTCCCAGCCTGAGAAGTGTAAAGCAGAGAGATCAAGACACCGGCAACATGTCAGAGATCACGGCCCATGAGGGCTACCAGCCTGAGTCTATGGTGGCCAAGATAAAACATAGGTTTTTTGGTTTTTTTTCTGTTTTTGTTTTTTGTTTTTTCGAGACAGGGTTTTTCTGTATAGTCCTGGCTGTCCTGGAACTCACTCTGTAGACCAGGCTGGCCTCGAACTCAGAAATCCACCTGCCTCTGCCTCCCAAGTGCTGGGATTAAAGGCGTGCGCCACCACCGCCTGGCTAAAACATAGGTTTTAATAAGTAACAATTCAGAAATATCTGAGTGGAGAGTGAGCTGCAGGGAGGTTTGGAAGTGTCCAGCCAACATTCTACTGTTTAAAGCATATTAAAATAGAAAGGTGTGTGTGTGTGTGTGTGTGTGTGTGTCTTTCATTTATGAATCCAAGACATCTGGCTAGGGAGTTTAGATCAGATAACAATATTACCACTTTGATACGATACATATAGACATCTTCACTGCTAGTCTCCTTAAAGGACGATGTGCAATTTATTTATATACCCTGAATCTTTATCTTTGTGAGATGATTTCCACTCTCGGCCATCTCACAGCATCAACCCTGCTGCACATGTCTTCCTGCTGTGAGATATTTCTTGAAGAACTGCTAAGAGCTAAGGCTACAGCCCTGTGGCCAAGGTCCAACACCCTGGAAGTGTGACTACTGTTATACTGAAAGGAAGGGGACAAGGGGAAGGGGAGAGAAGACAGAGGGGTGGGGGAGATAGGCATGCATGCTTAGAATTCTGGTAAGTATTCCAAATTGCTCTACAAAATAGCATTTCCTCTTATGAATATTTATTATTCACGAGTGCTCATAAGGCGGGGCCTGCTATCAGCCTCTGCAGTCTGCAGTGCCAGCCAGCCACTTAGTCACATCCCTTTGTTATCCCCCTTTCCTCTCCTGTGGTGTGTGGACTGCCTCCCATTCAGTGAACTTAAGAACACAGAGAAGGACCTCTGAGATTATTCACAGCTCCCTCTGAGGGTCAGGATCTCAGGGGGACAGAGAAGGGGCGTGGCTCCTTTCCTTGTAACCCCAAAGACTGGCCTCACATTGCAGCCGATCCTTTGATTCCACTTCCCAAGTTCCCTGGTTACAGGCATGTATTGCCATGCCTATTTTTCTTTTTGGAGGCAGATTTTCTAACTCAGGTACTGGCCTCTCTCTCATAATCCTCCTGAGTCCACCTACTAAGTTCTGGATGACAAATAGTATATTGGCTTATGAGTGTCTCATTTAGTTCAGCTGTATCATATATCGATAATTTAAAAACAACTGAAAATCAGTATATTTTATAAGATGAGGGAAATGGGATCAATACTGTGTGGTACACAGAAAAGCAGTTGTGCATTATGTGATGTCCCTGTACCTCAGGCTTCGGACTGCTGAGTGCTAGGGAGAAGTTACGCTTAGAATACTATAGTTCTATGTGTTTATTATACTTACAGTTTTGTCTTTTACATTCCAGAATACAGCAGCTCCTTCCCTGATTCAAGAATAGGAGAGTCAACCTCGGCAAAGGGAGAACACATTCTTTTTAGATTATTTATTGTGCCTCTATGTATGTATGTGCACTGTGTGAGTGACTGGTACCCACAAAGGGTCAGATGAGAGTGATAGAACCCTGGAACTAGAGTTACAGATGATTGTGAACCACCAATGTATGTGCTGAGAACTGAATGTGCTGGGTCCTCTGCAAGAAGAGCAAGTGCTTTTAACTGCTGAGCCATCTCCCTAGCCCCCAGAAGGCATTCTACAGAGTCATACTGAATGCTGTGTTTAGGTAACCTCTGTTACAGTGCTTCTCAACCTCCCTAATGCTACGACACTTTAATACCATGTTGCGATAACTGCTAAACATAGAATTATTTTTGTTGCTCCTTTATATCTATAATTTTGCTACCATTATGAATAATATAAATACCTGTGTTTTCTGATGGTCTTAGGTGACCCCGCTGCTCTAGAGCATACTGAGAATGCAAGTGAATAAAATTATTTGATTGATCATGAAGCGTGGCTGGCTTGAGTATACGGCTGTGAGTTACAGCATCGGGGTTATAGTGTGCAGTCTTCTGAATGCCTATCTCTCTGTTCTGCTAGTTACTTGTCCCCAGACTATGGGTTATTCCCCAAATGCATCTGACTCTGCCTTTTGTCAGTTACAAAATGGGACAGCATGTGTTTTACGTGGCTGCTACTGCCCCCTCACTCACTCAAATCTTGAAAAGGGAAGACTGTGAACCAGCGTCCCTCTCTTACATATCTAACAGGCAAGCTCAAATCTCAGCTGAAACGCTGCAGAAGGAGAGGAAGGACACCAGGCGTGGAGCCTCAAAAGGGCAAAGACAAGGCTGCTCTGCCCTACGTGTATATTTAGTATAAGACATACCAGGCAAAGATGATTTATTTGTTTTATTAAAGTTTGTTAAAATTTATTTTAAAGACTTTCATTTTGTAAGATGACATCTACCAGGGGGTGGAGCTGGCTCAGTGGTTAAGAGAACCTGTTGCTCTCCCAGCAGCTGTTTGAACATTTGGTTCAGTTCTCAGCACCCACCTATATCTACTTACAACCATGTGTAACCCCAGTCCTGGCGAACCAGTACTCTCTTCTGGTCCTCAGACAGGCATGCATTTGGTACACAGACATGTATGTGGGCAAAAAACTCATACACATAAAGTAGTAAAATAAATGAACCTTTTATGAAAAGATGACCTAGAACATTCTACAACCTACAGCATTAGCAATGTTGTCTACAACTGCTCATGTGCCGGCACAGGCAGATCCCAGGAGAGACACACCCCATCCTAGGGACTACAAGCATCTGGGTGCAAACCATCTTCCCAAAGCCATGTCACTCCTGGCTTACCTGAACAAGAATATTGTTCCAGAATCACCTTCTTTTGCAGAACTTTCCACACCCATCACCAAAATATTTGCTGCATCTGTGATATAAAACCCCAGTCAAAGTTGTGCACCGAACGACATGACCTGCCGAGAGCAGCTTGAACGTGCTGTAATCTGTTCTCAGGAGCACACCACAGTCCAAGTGCTCCACAATCATCAACTTCTGCTTAAGACGCTGAGGGTTTTAACATGGGCAAATGGGGCTGGAGAGCCTGCTCAGTGGCTAAGACTGTTTGCTGTTCTTGCAGAGAACCCTAGTTCGGGTCCCAAACCCATGTTGTGTGGCTCACAACTACCTGTAACTCCAGCCACAGGTGCTCAAGTCCCATCTTCTGGCACACATGTGTACACACAGAGACACACATACTAATAAAAATAAATCTTACGAGGGCTGGAGAGCTGGCTCAGAGGTTAAGAGCTCTGCCTAGGTTCAATTCTGTGCACCTACACAGTGGTTCACAGCCATCTGTAGCTTCAGTTTCAGGGGATCTAACATCTTTTGGACTCTGGAGGGCACCAAGTGTGCACATGATGTACAGACAGAAATATAAGCAAAACACCCTCACACATAATAAAATGCTTTTCAAAAAGAAAAGTCTTACAAAATGAAAAGAAAGTAAGAAACTACTTCCCTAGAACATTCTACAACCTACAATATTAGCAATGTTGTCTATAAAAGCTTACTCATGCCGGGCAGTGGTGGTGCACGCCTTTAATCCCAGCACTTGGGAGGCAGAAGCAGGTGGATTTCTGAGTTCGAGGCCAGCCTGGTCTACAGAGTGAGTTCCAGGACAGCCAGAACTACACAGAGAAACCCTGTCTCGGAAAAACCACCACCACCAACAACAAAAAAGCTTATTCACACTGATGTTGATTCAGTAACCAGTAGTCCAGTTAATAGATATTACAATTTATGGTCAATACAACTATAGGTCAAAAATTAAATATCTTTGTACAAAATTAAAATAAAATACATAGAATTAGTACATTATTTCTTTAAATGACTTAAAATTCTTCTACTTTAGACCAGGTCTCAGTGCTCCAGGCTGGCCTCCAACACAGCATGTAACTGATGATGACTGTGAGCGTCTGGTCCCTCTGCCCCACCCACTGGGATTGCAGGTGTTCACCGCCATGCTTGGTTTTACTGATGCAGGAGACCATAGCCAGGGCTGTGTGCATGCTGCGCAAACACTTAACGACTGGTCTACATCCCCAGTTCTAGTGACTGTAAGTGGTACAAAGCTTGGATAAAAGGGGGAACACAGAGAACACAAGTGTGACAATGTAAAAACCCAGCTACTGTCAAGGTTAATCACGAAAACTGCAAGTATACTCACCTGTAGCCATATTATTTTTAGCCTTTTAAAGGTTGCAGAATGCATCAATATTCACTGTACCTTTTATATTGGCGTAATTAATAGTTCTTATAAGCAGATGTTCTGTAATGTTAAGTTCTAAACAATATATCCCAAGTAAGACATTGTTACTAATTTATACAGAGTTATATACAATGTCTTCTTCTTTTTAGTTTTTGTGTGTTTGAGACCATGTCTAACCATACGGCAGCCTGGCCTCACTGTCCTCTTCAGCCCCTCCAGTGAAGACATTACACTTGGTTTCTCACATCACCGTTCTCAAAGCCTCAGGATCCCTGGTGGGGTTTGATGGGGACAGAAACCCTAACCACCTTATGGAGCATACGCCCAACTCCCCTGAACACCTTATACTGACAAGACAGTTTATCTGCATAGCCCCAAGTAACTTAAGGGGAACGACAATCCCCAGGGCCACACTAGGGGCAGCCTCTGCTGTCAGCCCCTGACCAATTTCTCATCTCAGGATTTCTGCAGAGTATTGTTCTTCTAAGTCAACTTGTTTTGTCATCAAATATAGTCTGTTCATACAATTAACAATGAAAGCACTTGTCATTTCAACCCATTACGGGTTAAAAGACCAATGAGTCTTTATTTTTTGGTTTGTTTTCTGAGTCAGGGTCTCTATGTAGCCTTGGCTGCCCTGGAACTCACTATGTAGACAAGACTGCCCTTAAACTCCGAGAGATCTGACCTCCTCTGCCTCCTGAGTTTTAGGATTAAAGGCGTGCACCACCATCTGGGTGGACTACTCTCCAAGAGTCCTTCAAACTTTCCTAAAATACAAAGGAAATTTTCTTTCTTATATTCATGTTTAACTTTTGCTTTAATTTTCTTTCCTTAAAAGCATTAGGCAGCCGGGTGGTGGTGGTGCACGCCTTTAATCCCAGCACTTGGGAGGCAGAGGCTGGCGGATTTCTGAGTTTGAGGCCAACCTGGTCTACAGAGTTCCAGGACAGCCAGGACTACACAGAGAAACCCTGTCTCAAAAAGCCAAAAAATAAAAAATAAAATAAAATAAAATAAAATAAAATAAAATAAAATAAAATAAAATAAAATAAGCATTAGATGGCTGGAGAGATGGCTCAGTGTTTAAGAGTACTGACTGTTCTTCAAGAGGTCTTGAGTTCAATTCCCAGCAACCTCATGGTGGCTCACAACCATCTGTAATGGGATTTGATGCCCTTTTTTTTTGGTATGTTTGAAGACAGCTACAGTATACTCATATATATAAAATAAATAGGTAAATCTTTTTTTAAAAAGTATTAGGCTAATAATTTCTTTTAAAGCCTCTCTCAGGTCCTGTTACTATCATAGCTTTTAAAATAGCTTTTAAAAATGTTTATCAGTTATTATCATTATTATTTGTAAGGGGTGTGCATGTGTGCACGTGTGCTCGTGTGTGTGTGTGTGTGTGTGTGTGTGTGTGCGTGCTCATGCATGTACAAAATAGTTTTTTGTTTTTGGAGGCGGAGTTTCTCTGTGTAGCTCTGGCTGTCCTAGAATTTGCACTACAGACCAGGCTAGCCCCAAGAGATCCACCTGCCCCTGCTTCCCAAGTGCTGTGATCAAAGATGGGTACACCATAGCCTGGCTGTACAATAGTTTTTTAATGTTACAGAAAAACAGCAGTATGGAGCAGTGGTTCGGCCCGTGTGTTACATGACTGGACCTAGTTCACCATAGTGGGAAGTGCTGCAACTTTTAAGAGGTGAGGCCTACTGGAAGAGAGGTAATTGGATGTACACTTTCTTTTGAAAAGGACCCCAGCACTGTGTAGTGAGTAGCTTCCCTGCCACACGCTCTTCATCAGGATAGGGTCCTCAACACAGACCCCAAACAACGGGCAACTGTCATCCATGGACTGAAATCTGCAAACTGTGCCAAGATTAACCGTTCCCCTGTCTACATTTCCTGTAGGTATTTAATTCAGCAACAGGGAACTAGCACACATGTCTACATTTACTGTAGGCATTTAATTCAGCAACAGGGAGCTAGCACACACGTTCCTTGATCTTTTCAAGTCACAGAGAGTCTATAAAGATTAAAACAGCGTATCTGTCTTAATCCAAAAATTCTCTATAAATACATTTTTTTTTTTTTTTTGGTTTTTTCGAGACAGGGTTTCTCTGTGTAGCCCTGGCTGTCCTGGAACTCACTCTGTAGACCAGGCTGGCCTCGAACTCAGAAATCCGCCTGCCTCTGCCTCCCAAGTGCTGGGATTAAAGGCGTGCGCCACCACTGCCTGGCTTTTTTTTTTTTTTTCTATAAATACATTTAATCATGTCATTTGAATAAAGACTTTTGAGACCATTTTCTTTTTTTCTGAGATAAGGTCTCACTATATAGCTCTGGCTGTTCTGGAACTGGCTGTGTAGACCAGGCTGGCCTTAAACTCAGAGATCCAATTGTCTCTGCCTTCCAAGTGCATGCACCACTATGTGTGGCTGGGATGGACTATTTTCATAATACAAATCAGTGGAAAATGAAATGGGAACAGATGTCCAGTAGAAACGCTATGACAGGACAGTCATTCTCTAACACATAGTATACTTGGCCCTGGATTCAGGTGGCAGTACCTCTAGGTAGGCTTGTCACTTCCACATAGCCACAGGAGACCAGCTCTTGAGACAGACTTCCCAGGTGATACTCATCTGCTGTTGCGAACGCTGTGCACTGCATCAGGTCCTGTTTTGGGGATGATCACAGGACTGAGGTTAGAGAAGGGCTCAAGCACCTCCAGAGGCAGCTGGATGCTGCTAGGGAACTCTACTCTGCAAAGCCAACACTGCAAAGTGTGTGTGAACCTCAGGTGTGTATAAAGAGTTCAGTGAGGATGAAGGGGATGAGTTACATGGAGGCAAATCTCAGCTCCAGTTAGAAAAGAACCCATGTTTGCTAGCCAAAAAGGTGGACTGGGCGGCCCTGAAAGAGAACCCCTATCACACAAATGGTAGGATCAACACACACTAAAAAGGAAACCCGGTTGAAAGACATTTCAGTTCTCTAGTCCCCAGGATCTGTGGCTCCATTTACATCAGCATTAGCAGCTAACGTCACTAGCCTTGCAGGAGCAGAGCTCCCTCAATCCACAAAGGATCCAGTGTTTTCCCTGGTATGTAGCCACTAGTGGTCTGCATATCTGAGGGCATGTCCTGATTTGCAGTAGAGGAATGAGCAGAGTACAAGCTATGCAGACACTCACACTGTGTGTTATACACACAGAGTAAGCAATGCTCAGTGCGTTTCCAGACAGCAAATGCCTTGGCAGCCCATTTGGAAGTTCGAGTATCAATTTAGTTGGCTCAAGTCAGCTTTTTAGATTTATGATTAGGGCTGGAGAGATGGCTCAGTGGTTGAGAGCACTGGCTGCTCTTCCAGAGGTCCTGAGTTCAATTCCCAGCACCCACATGGTGGCTCACAGCTATCTATACTGGAATCTGATGCCCTCTTCTGGCATGCAGGTGTACATGCAGCTAGAGCACTCATTAGATTTATGATTAATTTATGTGTACCTGCGTGTGCCTGCGTGAGTGTTTCATGCACCATGTTTGTGCAGGTTCCCATGGAGGCCAGATAGTTGTAGGATAATCCCCTGGGGCTGTAGTCACAGGCAGTTATGAGCCACCAGATACTAGCTAGGGGCTGAGGCTTGGTCCTCTGCTACAGCAGGAAGCACTCTTAGTTGCTGAGACATCTCTCCAGCACCCAGACAAGCTTTTCAAATAAATCAGAGTGAGGATGGGCATGCCTAGCATATATGATGGTTTGATCCCCAGCACTGGAAAACAAAACTAAGAGTCAGGAAATACTACAGAACATTACTCCTAGGATTAAATATTACACAGCTTTCTGACATACACATCTGTTTATGCATGCATTGTATATCACTCACTATACATGTAAAATAACTTCATTTCTTTCTTTTTTTTTTTTTTTTTCCTTTGAGACAGGGTTTGTGTCCTGGAACTCAGTGTACAGACCAGGACGGCCTTCAACTCAGAGATCGTCCTGCCTCTGCCTCCTAAGTGTTGAGATTAAAGGAATGTGCCACTACCGCCCAATAATTTATTAGAAATATGGTCAAAAGTTTGAAAATCAGCATCAGAGCTGATGTCACAGAAAACAAAAAATAAAGATTTCAGACAAAAAGTTTTGGGGAAAATGTATTTCATTAATAAAATAGGGCTGTTGATAAACTAATCATAACTGTTCGGTATTTCCTGGTACAGCTTGTCTGTCTCCTTGGCCACATCAGATGCCAGGCTCTCCCCCATGCTCTGTCATTCACAGTAGGAACCCTGGTGGAGCTCTGTAAGAACTTCTTGGTTCTTCCAATTCCCCTGGCCTAACTCTCAACTTCTCAAAAGATGATTCAGCCAGCCTAGCCTTTTCTGAGTCAGTTACACATTCTGCCCCGTTCATAAGCAGCATGGGAGAAAATGGAAGATTTCAGTATCCACACAGAATGTCACACTAAGGAGACACCCACTCAGAAGTGCAGGAAGTAACCTAATGGAAGCAACTGAGCAAGGACTAGTTGAGAGCACTGGCTGCTCTTCAGAGGACCCAGGGTTGATTGCTTAGCATGCACACAGAGCTCATGACTGTGTAACTCCCGAAGAAATCAGTCAGATAACCCTCAACTAGTGAAGAATGTGAGGATAAGCAGTACCCTCCTCTTGAAGACAACTGACAAACTACAGCTCAGTCACACAGGGAAAACATGAAAATGCTTCCATCTAAGAGTCAAGGAAGCCAAAGGTGGGAATCGCAGTTTGCAGCAGGCAGGATTGTGCTTATGGTATAGACACGAGGGGCTCCAAAGAGGCCTGCCATGTGTGAGCAGATGTGAAGACAGCTCAACGGAATCCTCTGAGACCTAGAACGCTTCCTGAAGCTTGCTGGACAGAGTCAGAGTAGCAGAGTCTGTCTGAATGATTTTCGTGACTGCAGCTGACAGAGGTGGTTTGGTTTGCAGCAGAAGAGCAGAGGCACAGAATGGAGATATCATAAAAAGGAGAAAAACCAGGAGAGGATGGGCCTGTGGCTGCCCTGCACAGGAGAGAATGCAGGCAAGTCTCTCTACCACCGCCTGGAAACTCAGCACAAAAGCACACACCCAGAGCAGATTCAAGTTTAGCATGTCTTTCTTTTCCTTCTCTCTCTCTCCCTCCTACCTCCCCCCCCCCCCCCCCCCCCCTCTGTGTCTCCCCCCTCCACTCCGCTTTTTTTTTTTTTTTTTTTTTTGAGGTAAGATCTCTCTATGAAGCCCTGGACATCTTGGAACTCACTATGTAGACCAGGTTGGCCTCAAACCCCAAGATCTTCCTGCTTCTGCCCCATGAGTACAGGGAGTTAAGGCGTGTGTCACCACACCCCACTCAAAGTGTAGCATTTCTAAAATGTGACCTGTGAGAACAGACAGACGGGTTCCACACAGATCCTCTAGTGTCTTTGACTAAGTGCAAGATCTGAACATCCCCAACTAGGATGGATGTCTCTGAACGAGGCAGTCCCTACCTCAATGGATCTCAGTCAAAAGGCTGAGATGTGACCATCCCTGCCTCTTCTGTGTTATGTTGCTGGCCTGTCCCTCTGTGATAGAATGCAAGTTTGGACTCTCAAAGGATGAGATGTGAAAAATTACTCAATCACTTATTTTATGAGAAAATGTATCCTAAGCTGATGAAGAATACATCTTCAAACACAATGCTTTACTTAAGCCTAAGTCTTTGTTGTAAGCTTTCCTGTCCCCCCATATTGGATGGCCTGTGTTTCCTGAGGACTTACTTGTGCTTTCCTCAGGATACAGGCAGTTTAGGTGACTTGCCTGTACTTATGTACGGCTGTGGGCTGGTTCTATTAATAAACACATCACAAGTTTTAGAAAGACTTTCTGGCATCTTGTCTGGGAACTCTTTCATGGAAGCCCACTTGGGAAGGGGAGAGATTCACGCAGTAGGCCGATTTTGTTTAACTGTAACACTATGTTCATTTGTAAGCAGCTTTCATTTCATTGTCTTTTCTAGGGTTTTTTGTTTTTAAACATCTTAAAGTGCTAGTTAAATTTACATATGTTGAAGTATATTTCAGGTTTTAGGAAGGGAACTTGTTCCTAAATAGATGACTGAAGCCTTATAAAACAGTTACTGGATTAGGCCTCAGATTTACACCTTTCTATTTTAAAATGTAAAACAAACAAACCCACCCTGTTTCAGCTTGTTCCTTTGACCACAGAAGATTCCGTCCAGCAGATGGGGCTAGCCATCTATTCATGGGGCTATTCATCTATCCCTGGTTGGAGAACTGCAGCATTCTCTGTGCAGTGGCATGGTAGCTTCTATTTTACTGACACTGGGACAGAAAAGACTTGTATCTGGCCTTTATCCTTAGATTAGTTCCTAGTAGAACTGAAGCCAGTGTTAATTCCTTAGTGACATGGGACACTGGATCATCACTTGGGGATCTGCCTTCTTTTTCTGGCACACAGCTTATATGCCCTGGAATTCCTTGCCTGACAGAATGTTGTTTATTCTACTGAGGTAACTCTTGGGCTCTGAGTGGATTCAGGATAGGGACTGGATGCTGGGAACATAAACTCTGACTCAGAGCTTGCAACCTTCTGCTCCACCTCTCGGGAGGTGGGAAGGTAGCACTCCCACCCACAGCCCTATAGATGGAAAAGATCTCTGCCTCTTTTCCAATGAGTACACAGTTAAGTACAAGGCATGGCTTGAAGATATCATTCAAGATTCAAAGTTAACAAAGGCCTTGACTCTGACTCGAAACTGTTTATAGCTTAAAGGACAGATGCAAAGTGCATCTGAAAAATCCCCAGGAACCCCGTAACAGCAATAATCAAACCAAGTAATGCCTTGTACTTGCAGAGGGTAAAACAGCCAAACCCCCACTGCCTCACGTGCCTGCCTCACGTGCCACGTCTTTACCCTGTGCAGTCACCACAGGCTAGCAATGAGTACCTGCCGGTTGGCAGTTAAATCTCTTCAGACGCATTTCTGGTTCAGTTCTTAGGAAAACAGGTGTCTCAAAGCTGCAACCCTGGCTGGACTGGCTGGCAGCTCCTTGCCTAGACCTCCCAGCCTAACTAACCCTCCTGAATAATGATGAGGCCTACCTGCACCACATTTCTGACATGGGCAACTGACTCCAGCAAGTTAAGCTTTCTGTAGGTCTGGCTATGTTAGGCTTCCAAAGTTTCCTACAGAATTCTGAGCTGGTTGCCCAGTTCTCTTGAGAGGCTACAGTACAACACTCACTGGCTTAGTGTACACGGGGCCAGATGCACTTAAGGGCCTCAGAACTAGTAGGCTTTACCTCATTCACAGACAGATCTGGAAGGTTGGTCCTTGACGGCTGCCGGGTCCGGGATGCTTTCAGTGGCCTCTTGATCTGCGGAAGGTCTTGTTTGGGAACAAGTGCTTCATTTGATACAGATGAGTGATGCCTCTTTGCTGCTTTTATAAACCACTTAGAACACAAGAGATTTGGTTTGTGGGTCATGTTCCTGTGAGTGCCAAAGAGGTGCATCCTTGGCCAGTGTGCTTTTCCATCCAACCAATGGACAGCATTTAAGGGGAAGAGTCTGCTTGTGTCTGGTATTATCCGGCTCATTTCCAGGATCTTTGGCTTATTCAAACTGTCAGCTGTTATACTTGGAAAGAGTGAGTCTAAATGTTGCTGTGTTGTCAGGCCGTTGTGGCACGCTGTACTTTCAAACTTCGTAAGTGGTCTTAATGTAAGCCGAGTAAGTCTCTGGCACCGAGGAGCCTTTGCTGATACACTTTGTAAACTTGCCAGGGTTTGGAGAAGTCGGGCTGGCATGATCACATCTTAGACTGAAAGAAGAAGAGTTAAAAAGTCAGGTTGGGTTTTAAATGTATGTTTAAAGTACACATATATTTCCTCAGGAAAATTATCCTCTGTTAAAAATGTGTCCCACATGGGCTGGAGAGATGGCTCAGCAGTTATAAGCACTGGTTCCCTTCTGTTTGGTGTCTGAGACACAGTCTCACACTACCTGGCCTCGAATGCAAACTCACTATGTAGAGCAGACTGGCCTCAGACTCATGAAGATGTGCTTGTCTCTGCCTCCTGAGTGCTAGGACTAAAGGCTTGTGCCACACACTGCGCCCAGCACCTGTTCTTGGAGAAAACCCAGGTTTAATTTCCAGTACCTATATAGTAGCTCACAACTGCCTAACTCCAGTTCTAGGAATCTGGTGCCCTCTTCTGACATGCGCATGGTGTACAAACATGCATAAAACAAAACACTCATAAAAATTGTAAAACAGAAATATTATAACCTAATCCTATCTATCTACTTATATATACATATTTAATATATATTATTGTATATTAATAACATTTTATTAATATACATTAGTATATACTATATTAATATATATGTAGCTGAGCCACAGCTTGGTAGGTAGGTATTCAGGACAAGTAAGGCCCTAGTTTTCTCAGTCTTGCAAACATACACTTTCACTTTTTCCATTTACTCATTTTTTGGCCTCTTTCTGGGAAATTATAAAATTATAAATTTACTCTCAATAACAAAGATGATAAAAGAAAAAGAGGTGATGGAACCTCTTCATTATTTTTTTGCAAGAATACCAAATATTTAAAAATAGCTGAGTGTGAGGGTCACATCTTTAGTCTCAGAACTTAGGAGGCAGAGGCAGGAGAAGGTGAGTTCAGGGCTAGCCTGCTCTACACAGTGAGTTCCAAGCCAGTAAGAGATTCATATGGAGACTCTCAAAAACAAACCAACCAAAGAAATAAAAACCTCCAACAAAACCAACTTATATGCATATGCACACACACCAACCTGTAACTACACATTCTTTATTCAACCTTTATAATTAAAACATCAACTAGCTGAGACCACAGGTGCATCCAAGGCCAAGTATCCCTGCCATCATATCTTAGCTCCTTTGGAAAAGACAGGCATTTTTCTCCTCTTCACTGAAAAACCATAGAAGAGACCAAACCGCAGAGCTGAGTACAAGACCGCAAGCCAACAGCAAGAGGTCACTCAGTTCTACTGGAAAGGCTCCCAGAAAGACCGAGATGGCTTTCATCTTTCAAGGGGAGAGGTGTTTCCAGGCAGGGGGCTGGGCATAGGAGTAGAGTATATTAGACCTATTATACAGACAAGTTAGACAGGTGTATTAGACAGGCACACCCAGGAAAGCACACACAGAGCCTGAAGGAAATGGGCTGTTAGATGTAATTTCCCTCCTCGACTTACAATATAAAATAGCACGCTCTTTTAGAAGCAAGCCTATAGTAAGCAGTAATAACAATTCTTAAAAATTAGGTGCCAGAGATTCAAGCACCACTCAGAGACTTCATAATTCACAGAAAACCCAGAGAGAACACGACACACCAAATACTATGCAGTCTTGACAAGGGAGCACCTGGAGTGAGGAGTCTGGCACACTCAGGGGTAACATTTGCAATGGTTTGTGAAAGGGCAGAGATCAGGAAAGCAAACAGGCCAGGTACACTGTGTTATTTACCTAACAAATGGGCTGTAACTTCAGCAGAGGGGGAAGTGAGCTGCAGGAGAGAAGGGTGAGAACGTATCGGGATACAAAGAGACACCTTAAATGGTCCTACAGGTTCCAAAGGTGGAGAAGCCAGGGCTGTGGAATCAGTGTCACATAGTCAGGTGTCTCAGAACCATGTCTCTGCTAATGCTTCGAGGGAAGAGCGGAGGAAGACTCGGACGTGATGTTCCAGCATCTTCTACATTCCAAATGCTGTTCTACCTCACAATAGCCCAGAGGAGAAGACTGGGTCTAGAGGCTAGTTGCTCACAGTTAGACTTGGTGGGTAAATATGCCTGCTGTTACACCTGATGACCTAAGTTCAATCCCCAAACCCACATGGTAAGAGAGAACTGGTTCCTGTGGTTACCCTCTGACTGACCTCTATACACCTCCTCCCCAATGAAAACAAAGCAAAAAAACACTCCAGCTTTCCCTATTGCAAGGACTATGTTCTTACCACTATCTTAGTCAGCAGTAAAACCCCATCAGAAGGGGTTAAACGTTATTAAAGTCAATTTTACCCACTCTTTTCTTCCGTCAGTGCAGCATCTACAAGGCTTATGATCTCCTGGACTCGGCCTACATCCCGATTTTAGCCATTACTCCCCAGACTCCACCATCTTTCCTGTCCTTTCCTTCTACTACCCAAAGCCAATAGCTCTTTCCCCTCAACAGAACCTACAATTTCCAGGCTTTACCCCCCCCCCCAATTCCCACTTCCTTCACACCCAGCTAATGTTCCATGTCTACTTTTTTTATTGGATATTTTATTTACATACAGATGTCATCCCCTTCCCATTTCCCCTCCCTAGAACCCCCAACCTATCCTCCCTCCTCCTTTATGCTTTTATACCACTTTAATTACATGCAAGTATTAAGGTCAGTTCTAGGTTGAGGGTCTAGCAATACAATAGATGCAAATAGTCAAGGAACAAGCAAAACAATAAACACAAATAGTCGAAGAAAGAGCAAGGCATTAAACTGATTTACGTGAACACTCCCATGATCACTGTTTCTAAGGGCTTATCAGGATGACCAAAGTATCTGAGTCTACTTCCCTGTCCTAGGTCATTTTCATGTCTGAAGCCTATATCCTTGTTCTAGCCTAAAATTTAGATTCCTGTCTGAAATTACTTCTTTGTTCTAGCCTAATGTCAGATTCCTGCCTGAGGCCTACTTCCTTGTCCTTGGCCAATGTCATATTCCTGCCAAGCAGCCCCTTTCCTTATCTTTGACCCGTGTCAGATTCTTGTCAAGCAGCCCTAAAGGCTCTCCGCCTCTCCCCCTTTTTTATTTCATTAACAAGACTGAGCCTGTCTTAGGTCGTTCTGACAAGAATGCCTTCCTTATCCGTCATGAAATATGCATTATCAAAAGCAGTGAACTTATGTCTTAGGTTGGTAAGGCTCTGTGCAGAATCTTACCCATCCTTGGCTTGCCAGCCTGTTAATTTAATAACTCTGTCTGGGGGTCCATGTCTACTCTTACAACCTCCCATTCACTGTGAACCCCCGAATCCCTCTCTCTTCTATAGCCATGTGACATAACCTCATTCCTAACTGAACAGGATTCACCTGATTTAATTTTGCCTACATTCTTGCAGCTCATGAGAGACAGCCAACTAATCACCTCCTAGCACCCTCTCCAGCCAGGGCCACTCTGGGTCTTCTACACTGCTCAGGACCGTATGCCACCCCCTCCTCACATTTTCAGCCCCCTCCTAGTTTCTCATTCTCAATAATGACCTCAATTCCTCCTCCACTAACAAAATGGAAACTGAAAGTTCTACAAGATGACTCCTCAGCCATCATCAGCCTGCATTCATTGCTTCTGTGCCCAGCGATCAATCCTCCCTCTTTAAAATTTTTATTAAACAGGCATACGTGTTTGTCTGCATGTATCTGTGCACTACAAGAATGCCTGGTGCCAAAAAAAAAAAAAAGGAAAAGAATGCCTGGTGCCACAGAGGACAGAAGAGGGCATTGGATGCCTGGCAACTCACTGCCCACTCCTGGAAGCAGCTTTTCATTTGGCTTCTAGAATACCACACTGGCCATTTTCCTTCTGTCTTTCTTTGCTGGTTCCTCATCCATTCAAGCACGTGATACATCAGGTCTCAGACTCTGGGCCACTTCTCTTCCCAATCAGTCTCTTGGTGACCTTACCTGACCCTGTGTTTTATAAATCATTATGACGAGTAGCACAGATTTATCTCTAAATCACCCCGAGCACCAACAATGTAACAAGCTCAAAACTGGACATCTGGACTCTTCCACAAGACCACACCCTTCCCTATTCAAGTGCCAATCATATACTTGTATTTGCTCAAGTCCTACGCCTGGAATTTGCTTCAACTTTTCTCTTCAGTCCCCATACTCAGTCAGTAAATCCCACCGGCCTTTTCAGGCCAGTATCCACCACAAATACTTTCCCAAGTTTCTGTTTTATTCAATGATGATTATAATAGCCATTTACCAGCTTATGATGGTTGGCCTTTATCTGACTAGCTTTAGAACAACCATGAAGACACAGCCCTCTGTCTGTGACAGACTTTCTAGGGTAGGTTAAGAAGAGGGAAGACCCAGTGAAATGTGGCTAGGACCATGCCTTGGGGTGGGTTGCCAACTTTCTAGCTGAGCAATGCAAGGCTCCTGCCTGCTCCTGCCTCCATGTCTAACCTGCTGTGACGGACTGTAGCTGAGTAGCAAACCCTTCCTCCCTTCAGCTGCTCCTCTTCAGGCAGCTTGTCACGTGGAAGGCAACTGACACATTGGTCCTCTGCCTCTGTTCTCAACCTCTGACAGCTTATACATGATGGAGTACAGCAAACATTCTGAGACTGCAACTAGAACCCTATCTTCTTCTAGTGTCAAATTTGATGATGGCTTTACATTTACAATAAAAGCCCCTAAGACGGCCTTCAGAGCTTGTATTTTCCTGGCCTTTTGCACCACTGTGGCATTCCCTATAGGAATGCTTTTGTTCCAGGCCCCCTGGGTCTTTCTGGATCTTTCCACTTACCTGTCCTCAAGCTCTCCTCTCACCATTTTCTACTTTGTCCTCGTATTTAACATCACTTACATACCTTGTATTTTTAGTTTATTAATTCATGCAATGGCTATGAACGGAGTCCTTACCGTGTGCCAAGCATTATGCTAGCTCTGGAAACGGACAAATATCCCTTACACTTGGAGTGGGAAACAGTAAATGTGGCAAATAAATGATACACAGATATATATTAGATAGGGACAATGATATCATAAAGCAATAAAGGAGATTTTTGTCTCTCCTCAAAACAGGTTTCTGTATTTGCCCCCTGTGTTCAGTGACGATAGTGTCCTTGGACACAAAGGTGTCAACTACATTTTAAAATGAAACAAGCCGTTCTTGGGCATTTATCTTTAAGAATAATATGCCCATGTGCCTAAGAATAGCACTAATTGCACTCAGTGTTTTATATAAAAGACATTAAGTTGGGAGTGGGACATGGGTAGGCCTAGGCATTTGGGTTTGAGGGGAGGGCTGGGGGTGTTGGTGGACATAAGCAAAATACGTTGTATATGAGATGCAGAATACCATCAATTAAAAAAGCGGCTGCATCCAGGTTAGCTTCAGCGGGCAAGTGGTGCTGACCTTTGGGAGCACGTCTTCCAATTCCTAAGTTCAAGGTGATTTCATGCTTCTTGGCAGCTATTACTATGCCCTGCCTCCAACGCTGGGTCGGGAGTGTTTGTCCTAGGTGCTTCGGACTCCCGACTAAATCCTGAGGCCCTGGCCGAAGCCCACACCTCCTCACCAGCCTCTCAGGCTGGGGAAGCGCGAAGCACTGACCTGCGCGCGGAGAGGAGGACCCCGACGCCCACGCGCACGCTCCCGTCGTAGGCGCTTCTGCGGAAACACACTCCGCCCCGCCCCTCTGCGGCGCAGGCGCACTGCAAGCCCCCAGGCTGGCCAGCCGGGGCACGTGACCATCCAAACACGTGACCGCTCCGCGCACTCCTTTCCGCTCGGCGGGCTACCGCCTCCGGTCCTCTAGGGCTTCCGCTCGCGTAGCCGGAAGGCCCTGGCGTCCCATCCTCTGCCCCTAGCCGGGGCACCAAATAAAGTTTCTGAGTTCAAAAGCGGTTAAAAAAAAAAAAAAAAGCCCCAACCGTTTTCTGGAACCCCAACCGTTGGACTCCGAGCGACGCCAGTGAGTGGCGTGTGTCGCCGGCGCCATGGCCGAGTCCCCGGCGTTTCTCTCCGCTCAGGACGAGGGGTGCGTCTCGCTTTTTCTCTTGCGCACTTGGGAGACAAACCCATGTTGGGTGAGGAAGCTGTGGGCGGTCGGGAGCGCCAGATCCTCAGACTGAGAGTTCGAGTCCCTCCTGAGTGGGAGACAGCGGACTTGCTCTGCTAGCCCGCGTCAGAACCTAGCTAGATCCTCCGTGTACCTTCTTCCTTGATGTCACATATTCCCAGCTCTTGAGAAGCTGAGGCAGGATTGCTGTTAGGTAAAGGCAGCTCGCGCTAGTAGTGAGTTCGAGCCCACTGTGGGATACATTAGGGAAAGCGTGTCTCTAACAAGCAAGGAGGACAAGCGCTGCGGGGGCCAACAGTTAGGACTCACACCTACTGCGGTGTATGTAATGATATGGGTCAAACTAATACTCTTACAACATTTAAATACGTCTTAATTTTGTGCGCGCACATCCCATTATACGCGATAGAGGTCAGAGAACAGCTCTGTGGAGCCGGTTTTCTTCGTTCACCTCTCAGGAGTTCAAAGAGAACACAGGCGGCCAGATTTATCAAGTAACTTTACCCACTGAGCCATCTCGCTGCCCGCCCCCCCCCCCAAATAAATATCATTAGAAGTAGTTCACTAGTGGAAGCTTGCAATTTTCATATTTAGAGTTTTTCCCCTCTATGCACACTTCTCATGAAATTTATGTTAGGCACAATAGATTCACCAAAACAGCTAAAGCAAAACGGAACAATTAATGGCATGTTAGTTTAATTTAAATTTAATTAAAATTATTTAAAATTTACAAATTGTTGACTGCTGGAATTTTCCACTTAAAATGTTTTTAAACTGGTTGAGTGCCCCTGGCAGGCAAACCTGTGGATAAAGAGAAATTACAGTATGCTACAATTTGTGGGCAGAGTTATAAGTAAGAGCAAAAATAAGCACTGGCTAAGTAGCCAATCTTTTTGTTTGTTTGTTTAGTTGGTTGGTTTTCTTTTGACACCAAGCTATTGAATTATGTAGTAGAGGATGGCCTTAAACTCCTGCTACTCCTGCCCCTAGTGATGGCATTATAGAGGTGAACCACCACACTAGGCTCCAAATTCATATTTCAAATACTTTATTTTCAAGTAATTTAATTAGTTTTATGTATTTGGGGAGGGTGGCACTCACCTGTGATACCACCACCCAGGAATGGAGGTCAGAGGACAGCTTGTGTAGGGAGTCTCCTTTGTCCTACCATGTGGGTCCTGGGGATCGAACTCAAGCGGTCATACTTGGTGGCAGGTGCCTTCCCCTGCTGAGGCATGTCCCCAGCCCTTGGAATAGTTTCTAGATGCTTAGATGTGGCCTTGCCTGGCTATGAGTACAGTGTCTGCCTACACTGTTTTGGAACGCCCCTCTCTAGGAGCCTTCTGGTTGGTTGGTTGGTTGGTTGGTTTGTTTTTCTGGTGCCTTAGAAAACTCTAGTGTTGATGGGCTCACCTCCCTCTCTGTTTTGACACTGTCACTGATTGGTAAACATTCACTTCTAATTCTAGGAGTTAAAAAGCAGATTTGAAGCACCTCAAAGCCTCACAGTCCAAATGTGGGTTTTTTAGTTTTTTTTATAGCTCCCATTCAAGGAAGCCTTCTGAGGAAATGCTCAGTTGAGCCCACTAGTTTAAAGGTCAGAACAAGTCACTTGAGTTTGTAGATATGTAATAAATTCAACAGAGATGATTTGGGCAGAGAAAACTGATGAGCTAGGCACTGTATGCTACGTTAAAAGGTTAACGTTTCAGGAGCCAGGCAGAGGGCTCAGTCATCAAGAGAGAGAGAGTCCTGCTTCTGCACGGGACCCAAGTTCCATTCCCATAATCCAGGTCTGGTGCTTAGAGCCACCTGTAGCTAGCTGTAAGGGATCCACAGCCCCAGCCCCAGCAGGCACCTTCACATGCCCCGTCTACATCAGGGAAATGCAAATCAAAACTACTTTGAGATTTCTCCTTCATCTTGCTAAGGGATTGACCTAGGACCAGAGCCTGTTTGATTGCAAGATCAGTTCTTTTTTTTAAAACTTAACCACATTGCTGAAGTAGTATCTGATTTTGAAAAAGAAATTGAGTAGGATAGAAAAGAAAATGATTCAGTCAAATTCTGGGGCAGAACCCAGTCTGCTCAGCAGCCATGACAGTAGAGTTTCAAGTTTTCTTGGGTCGTCTTTCTTCTCCCTCCCTCCTTCGTTTCTTCCTTCCAGAAGGATCTTATATATCTATCCCAGGATGGTCTTAAACTACTAATCCTCCTGCTGCTGTCTTCCTGGGGCGAGGGTTACAGCTGTGTGCCGCTGTGTTACCTGCCCTGGAGCTTCCTGGGGCGAGAGTTACAGCTGTGTGCCGCTGTGTTACCTGCTCTGGAGCGTCGTCCATACAAGACAAGCTCAGCCTCATGTCTATAAAGCATATAACACTGCTGTGCCTTTTATAGTCGGATGAAAGGGAATTTGGATCCAGATGAGGCATTCCAGAAACTAAAATTGGGCATACTTTCTCGTGTTAAAGCTACTGAGTGATGCGTGGCCTTGGACTCTCTTTCCTAGGTCCTTTGCGTATCTCACGATTAAGGACAGAACACCGCAGATCTTAACCAAGGTGATTGATACGTTGCATCGACATAAAAGTGAATTTTTTGAAAAACATGGAGAGGTAAGAATTATATCTCAGCTTTAATTTTGTGCTAGTTCTTCACAAGGATAACAGTATTTATAGGTTTCAGCTCTCATTTAAAGACTTGTGTCTGGCACAAATACTTACCTGCCTTTCTGTGTGTTGAGGTAGCCTCCGGTTGACCTGTGTGCTAACCTTAGTGGTCATGAGTGATGACCTTGACTTCTGTGAAGAGCCTTTGAGGCTCCACAGCTACCTGGATTACAGCGTTTGCATTACTGATTGGAGACCTTGAGACCCACCAGTGCAAACTTGGAGTGGGAGTGAAGGGCAGTGGGAATTACAGTTGATTGACAACAGTGTGACTAATTACGGGAATGATTTGCTGGCTGGAGTAGAGTAGAACTTAAAAGAGTCACCTTGCCTGCTTCATCAACAGATGAGGGAAACACCTAAGTCATTCTGTCACTGTGGATAAAGCCTTTAAAGCTGACTCCCGTTACCCGTGAATTGTGCTGCATGTGTGTGTGCTGCATTTGTGTTCCTCCTTTTCCTTCCTTCCTGTCTTCTTTTGAGACAAGGTTTCGAGTAGCTAAAGATCTTGAACGCTTGTATTACAGTTGTGAGCCACCACAGGCAGATTGTACAGTGCTGGGGAATGAACACAAGAGTCTGCCCCTCTTCTCCCCTCCCCACCCAGGGCTTCTGCATGGTAGGCATGCACTTTACTGAGCTGCATGCTAGGCCCCATACATTTCTTGAACACATTGCAGCAAAGATTTAAAGTGGTGGTTAGTGGATTTTTTGGTATTTTTTGGTTTTTCAAGACATTTTGGTTTCTAGTATTTTGGTCTACCTGTGTAGCCATGGCTGTCCTGGAACTCACTCTGTAGACCATGCCATCCTTAAACGACAAAACTACCTGCCTTTGCTTCCTGAGTACTGGGACTGAAGGTGTGCGCTCCCACTGCCGGGCTGTAGTGCTTCTTGATTGGCTGGATTGAAATGGAGCTAGGTATTTTGAGTGTATAGAGTTATCTTTCATTTATTTGTGTGTGTGTATTTATGTGTATGGGTGTTTGATCTCTATGTGGTTTGTGTCCCACACAGCATGTAGCGGCCTTGGCGGTCAGAAGAGGGCATCAGATCTCCAGGAACCAGAGTTACAGATGGGTTCATGTGAATGAAGGGACCAAACCCAGGTCCTTAGTAATTTGTTTTTAAACAAATTCTGATATAATACAGAACCATCTTTTGCTTTCTTCTCCCCTCTTGAGACTACTTAATTTAGGCTGGCCTTGAACTCAGATCCTTCTGCCTCTGCTTCCTGGCTAGAGTCAGAAGCTTACACCCCATACCCCACCTCCTTGTTCTTTATTGCTGATGTCTAGCTCATCTTGGACAGACATTTGGCTGATGGATGGTCCCAGTGTTTTATACATACGTGCAACTTCATTTGGATGGATGTGCATATTTACTTAAGTGTAAATGAGCCAAATCTAGGTGCTTTGCTTAAATATTGCCCCTTTACTTAAACACAAATATGTAAAGTAACTTTTATTCTCCTGTTGTAATTCTTCTCTGGGAGGCTTCCTGCCTCTAGCTGCTAACCTAGGCCGAGTCCTGGAAGCTTCTAGCCTCCAATCTAATCTAGACCTAGAATGTTTTCGGTCTCTGAGACTTGCTGCTGAATAAATTTATCCTTTCTTGTTTTTTTCTGAACTCTGGCTGGCTGGTTTAACTTAGCTGTTCTAGCTCAGACTCCTCCAGCTGACTTACTCAATCTGGCTTTTCTGTTGGCCTCTGAATTGGCCTCAGACTGGCTCTAGCAGTCTGTTCTAATCTTCTGGCTCCTCCCTGTTCTCTGGCTCTTTCTGTGTCTAGCTTGTTCTCCCTTCAATCTGTCTCTGTAAAACTGTCCCAGTAAACCTGCCTCCCCCTTCCTCTCTGTGCTGCTCTGCTCTCCCTCTCGGCTCCACTGCACTGCTCTTCATGAACTCTACCGTATCCTGTGCTGTACTCTCTCTCCCTCAAGTAGCTCCCCATTGTTCTTTTTTCTCCTGAGAGCTGGGCAGATCCTATTCTGTCAAATCTTTCTCTGATTCGTCACTTTGTCTGCCACTCAATTAGACATCATTTTCAAACACCGGCGCTTCTTTCACAAACTAACTTTACCTTCTTTGTTTGGGATTAAAGGTGTGTACTAAGGGTGTGTCTACGTTTCAGCCAGAGGGATTAAAGGTGTGTGGTAAGGGCTGAACCACACCACAACTAGAAGCAGGTTTAAATATCCTGTAACACAAACAGCCAGAGGTCTTTTATAATTTGGATTTTTTCAACTGGAGTGACTAAAACTGTAATAACGGGTCACATCTTATTGTGTACCTCCAGCCCGTGCAAGGTCTGTTGTCAGTGCAGTCCTGTCCCATTTCACTGTGCTGTGGGAAGGACAGTATTAAACACGGGCCTGAGTAGCATCAGCTCCTTGTAGCTGTCTTCTCTTAGGTGGTGTGTCTTTCTTCAGTCTGTCTCTGTGAAACTCTCTCAGTAAAACTACCTCCTCCTCCCTCTCTGCCCCTCTAGTTTCCCTCTCAGCTCTACTGCTGAAACCTCCTAGGGCTCCCACACTTTCTAGCCTCTCTCCTTTGGCTCTATGAGCAGTACCATGTCCTCAAGGGAACCATGTCTGTCATGTGGTTCTCAAAAGCCCATCCCTTAGACTACCTGATTGAGTAGATGTTGACTCTCTTAGGGGTGCCATAGGCCTCATTTATTTGTCTCTGACTGAACAGTGCCTGGCACAGACAGGTCTCAGAAAATGTCTGAACTGAAGTGAAACAAGGTAAGTAACAGGTATTGACGCAACATTAAATCCAGGCTCCTATAAAAGATGATGCTGACAGTCCTATACAAATCTCATCTGGGGCCAGGCGTGCTGGTGTATGTCTTTAATCCCCACACCTGAGAAGCAGAGAAAGGTGAAGCGCTGTGAGTTCAAGGCTAGTCTGGGCCATGTGAATTCCAGATCAGCCCTGATGAGATCAGCCCTCATGAGACCCTGTCTCCAAGCAAACAGACAAAGTCGCAGTTGTAACTTATCCTAAAATAATGTATTCAAATGAAAGACCTTAGGGTAGAGAGTTGCAGAGGGTAACTCTTACTCTATAGTATGGAGGCCATGCTGGAGAGATAGGTGCTCACTAATTAAGAGCACTTGCTCATAAGCAGGAGGACTGGAGTTTGGATCTCAGCAGTCACAGAGCAAGCCTGCTGACCTGCAAACCCTGGAACTCAACTCTGAAGGACCTGTGCTGGCTTTTGGCCTCTGCATGTGCACATATGTTTCTGCTTATATGCACATTAGTGCGCACACATATAGAGGCACATACATAAACAAGTAAAAATTCAAAAACGAAAGACGTGTATTGTATGAGATTTGGCTCAGTGGCCGGGCATGTGCTTGGTATGCCAGCCTTGAGTTCAGTCTCCAATCACAGGCACATACACACAGACATATGCACACACATGCACATGCACACACACATGCACACACACACGCACACACACACTCAGGCTGTTTCTAAAACTTGGTAGTTTTTGAATCTTCTAACATTGTAACCCTGAAAATCTCTTAAAACCTCAGCCTCTAAGCAGCAAAGTGGATCCTCCTTGATCCCAAACAGATTTGGTGTGGGTAGAGCGTAGTGACTGAGTGCCTGCTGAGCATGTAGGAAGTGCTGGCTTCCATTCTGAGCAGAGGGAGGAGGAGGAGGATAGATTGGCCAGGTAATGGGATTGGAACACCATAGAGACTTCCCTAATCATGGTCTTATAAAAACTCTCCCTTCGCCGGGTGGTGGTGGCGCACGCCTTTGATCCCAGCACTTGGGAGGCAGAGACAGGTAGATTTCTGAGTTCGAGGCCAGCCTGGTCTACAGAGTGAGTTCCAGGACAACCAGGGCTACACAGAGAAACCCTGTCTCAAAAAACCAAAAAAAAACAAAAACAAAAACAAAAACAAAAAAAACCCTCCCTTCTCATAGCCCAGGCTGGCCCCAGACTGTATACAGCCAGTGCTGGTGTTGGCCCTCTGATCCTTTCCTCTCAGCTTCACAAGTACTGGGATTACAGCAGTGCCCCTCCCTGCTTCAGCAATGTCTTGTTTTCCAGGAGACATGCATCTTGCTGGTGTGGAGTTTCAGGCACTGTATTGTTATTCCATCTTGTGTCTCCTCTCTGATGTGTCATAGGGATGGGGCAACTGTCTGTCAGTGACCTGGGAGCAAGGATGTGGTCTGCAGAACTGCAGGAGGAACCCAGGGAGTCCAGGTTTCCTTCCTAGTCGTGGCACTGGAAGGGTGTGCAAGTAGGAAAGGTGCAGGGGGCGATGCTAGTGGGTCCTGTCCCTCTGCCTTCCACAGGCTTGAAAACAGAAAGTCTGGGTTGTAGAAAACAGGAAAAAAAGATCATTAAGATCATATAAAAGCCTAAGTGTGGGTTTAAAGTACTGTGGTTTCCTTCTTCACTTTAGGTCTGTAAAGCTACGAAGCCCTGAAGGAGTATGCACACGCGTGTGTGCACCCACACACAGAATATGCACACGTGTGTGCACTCACACACAGCAAAGCTTTTTCTTGTCCCTTTGTACTTTTACAGGAAGGCGTTGAAGCTGAAAAGAAAGCCATCTCTCTTCTTTCTAAACTACGGAATGAGCTGCAGACAGATAAACCAATTATCCCCTTGGTGGACAAGTGTGTTGACACGGACATGTGGAATCAGTACCTGGAGTATCAGCGGAGCCTTTTAAACGAAGGGGATGGGGAGCCACGCTGGTTCTTCTCTCCCTGGTTGTTTGTAGAGTGCTACATGTATCGGAGAATTCATGAAGCCATCATACAGAGGCAAGTGTACAGCCAGTAGATGACAAGTGGTTACATAAGTGACAACTATTTTTGAATAGTTTACTGGGGGCCAGCAAGATGGCTCAGCAGGGTAGGAGCTTGCTGCCAAAATGGAAGGACCCACATAGTGAAGGAACGAACTGAATCCCCAAAGTTGTCATTTGATCTGACTTCCATGGGCTTACCATGTCATGTGAGCACACCCTCAATAAATAAATAAATGTAATTAGAGAAAAGAATAATTCAACAAATAGAAACAATAAATACTGTTGGACATTTCCACAAATGGCTGAATGATATGACCTTACTAAAGGCTCTGTGTGTGTGGAGATCAGAGAAGAGCTTATGGGCAGCAGTTCCCACACCTTCTCTCCCAGCCTTAAACATGCTTTCAAAAAGATGTCTGCAGTAAAGCAAAGAGTGCTTACCGAATACAAATGTGAGTTTGACATGTAAGATGGGGCTGGGTTTGGTGGTGCCCACCTTTAACCATAGCACTTGAAGGGCAGAAGCAGGTGGATCTCTGAGTTCAAGCCCAGCCAGAACTACATAGTGGAGCCTTTCTTTTTTTTTTTTTTTTCTCTTTTAAATTATGGTAGAATCTGGATGGTGGTATCGCAAGCCTTTAATCCCAGCACTTGGGAGGCTGAGGCAGGTGGATCTCTGTGAGTTTGAGGCCAGCCTGGTTTACAGAGGGGGTTCCAGCCCAGTCAGAGCTACACAGTGAGAACTTGTCTCTAAGACAAAAACAAAACCAAAAAACAATTAACAAAGGAACAAATGCTTTCTCTATAGATGACAGGAAATGTGTTTGGTTACTTTTCTCATTGTGCTAAGCACTTGGCTGGAGGCAGCTTAGGGAGAGTGACTATGGCTGTGGAGCAAGAGTGAGCTCCCTGGTGGCAGAGGAGGCCTGTGGCACGAGTGGGATGTTCAGGCAGCCGGTCATGTCACATCACATCACATTCCGTCAGCAGCAGGAGCAGACAGGAAGGAGGGCTGTGGCTCTGCTCACTCTCCTCCTGCAGTCCAGGGACTGGTGCTGCCTACATTAGGATGGGTCCTGACCTGATCTAGATACTCTAACAGGCCAGGGATTTGCCTCCAAGGGGATTCCAGATCCTTAAGCTGACAATCAGTGTACACCATTACAATAAAATATCAGAGTTTATTCTGTAAAGGGATAATCAGAAAAGAGACTCTCGTCACATACTCTCTTAATCTTTCTTCTGTCTTTCTTTTAGTTTTAAAGATGTATTTCTGTGTTTATATGCACTGTTTGTGTATGTATGCGCTGCTTACTTTGCGTGTGTGTGTGTGTGTGTGTGTGTGTGTGTGTGTGTGTATGCACGCACGAATGTGTGGGCACCAGGAGAGGCTGGAGGCCTCTGGATCCCCTAGATCTGGAGTTACAAGAGGTTCTAAGTTAATTGATTTGGGTCCTGGGAACAGAACCTGGGTCATGGAAGAATGGGAAGTGCTCTTGACTACTGTATTTCTCTAGCCCTGGTATTTTTTTTTTTTGGTTTTTCAAGACAGGGTTTCTCTGTGTAGTTCTGGCTGTCCTGGAACTCACTTGGTAGACCAGGCTGGCCTCGAACTCAGAAATCCGCCTGCCTCTGCCTCCCAAGTGCTGGGATTAAAGGCGTGCGCCACCACCGCCCGGCCTGGTATTTTGTTTTTAATGGCTAGATTAAAAAAAAAAATTAAATGTCATACATTCCAAAACCTTTTTATAGATCATTTATTCTATTTACCTTTTCATAAGAAATTCTGACGTGCATCTTATTTATAGTGCAGAAGAAGAGGTGATATGAATTGTTTTTTTAGTTTATAGGTTCCAAAAATACAAGTTTGATGTAGAAGCAATCCTTTAGTACCTGTTTCTGAATACCATAGTAGGAGCTTAGGCTCCTCGACCAGCCTGCAACACTGTGGTTGCTATCACAACTGGGGAAGCAAGGCAGGAATGGGTGAGGGAGTAATAGGAACATCAGGCAGCTAGTGGGCATAGTTGAGAAGACTCTTCCAAGACTGGCTTCAGTGAGACAGTACATTTAATTGGGAGAACAAACACTATTTAAACTTTTAGAGAGTGGCTAGGGGTCTTTGGGGAGAGTGTACATCATTGGTGGGGAGGGGGGCAGAGCACCGAGGATGCTTCATATGCATGGAGAGGAGCTTCAGATATTGCTGGACATTACCTTGCAGGAGAAGAAGATCACCCTGGCCGCTAGGCTATGTGACCTTCGCTGGGCATGGGTCTGGGCACAGGGCTGTGTGGGCCAGGATATGCAGGCCTGGGCCAGATGGGGAGCTATCCTTCCCCTGCTGATCTCAGAACCACATTTCTGGGTTTGGACATACGTCATCCCCACTTTTGCTCCTGACTAGCTCCCTCAGTCCCACACCTCCCTGGCCCCACAATCATAGGATGATTTAAAGTAATAGATCAAAGCCAGTTTGGGACACTGAGGCAAGAAGAGTCTCTGTTTGAGGACAACCTGAGTTGTATAGCAAGTTCTAGGTTACCCTTGGCATGAAACCCTGGTGAGAGAAAGAAAAGAAGGAAGTAAGAAATGAATCAGTCAGTCAAACCAATAATAATTATAAAATGAAATCATTTTAGGAAATGATAGAGCTTTTGATTCTAGTTTTTGCAGAACAGATAGAACTTTGTTTCATCACTGGGGACAACTACCTGACCTGGGTCAGGTGTTTTGTTGTGTGTGTTTGTTTGTTTTTGCCTGCTTTTAAAAAGCTATATATTGATTTACTGATTTTATATATATTTATATGTATACATACATATATATGTATATATATTAATATATATATCTAATATATATACATATACATATATATACATATACATATATATATATATATACACTATACACACATATATATGTTTGGTTGGTTGGTTTGGTTTCCTTCCTGAGACATGGTCTCGATGTCTTTGAACTCACATAGCCCAGACTGGTTTCAAAACCACAGTCCTCCTGTCTCAGCCCCCTAAGTGCTGAGATTACAGGTGAGTGAACTGAACAGCTTATGGAGGCGTCTTCCACTGACTGTTGCTTGGTGGGGTCATTAGTATCTATCGATGCACGGCATTCTCAGTTGTCCACATTGCTGAGGAATACTCCACATTGTGAGCCTTCAGTTTGGTAATCTGAAGTGCTGATAGCTTAGTTGTTCCGTGTAGCATGTAGTTATAAAAAAACAATCCACGGTATGGCTGGCTAGGCACCAGCAACAGAGGTTTCCCACCACCACCACCCCTCTCGTGGGGATCCCCAAACAGTGGTCTGCCCAGGTTCCCAAGGGTAGCTGCTGCCACCAAACTGCTTTCCAAGCCGTCTGCTCCCTGTGGCTAGCCTGCTGAAACTGCTGGCTCTAATCCCCTAGTCTGTAAAATGAAAACTCCAGAGGCTTGTAGTTTACCAGCTAGATTTATAACAGTAAATCTTCAACCCTCAATATGTCCACACAAAGAACTCAAAACTCAGTTGATGTAGATACAAGCTACACACCTAGATTGGACAGATGCACCCTACATTACTCAGTCATCTATGAAATCCCCAGTTACTTATGTCTCCTAATGCCACATGGTTCTGGCTCATCATCCTCTCCTTCAGGTACCGTCTTGTCTCTGTCCCCTCTCTAAAACTTACAGCTCTGCCTTACACTGCCCAGTCACTGGCTCTAGCCTTTATTTTACCAGTTAATATGGGGAGAAGGTTCACTTGGTCACAACTGTCCAAGGCAGCCCCTCTTGGGGAAGTGGAGTTAGCATCAAAATACAGAGAGTGCCAGGCCATCCACAGCAGTTCCAGTTTGGGATTTTACAAAGAACAAAGCTGCAAACATTGTAATGTGGGCTTCGGGGGGGTTATATGACTTTACTTCTTATTTTGTGCCCCTTGAACTGCAGTTAGAGATGGTTAGAGCTTCCATGTGGGTGCTGAGGACTGAAACTGGGTCCTCTGGCGGAGTAACCAGTGATCTTAACCACTAAGCCCCATTTCATCTGCCCAGTTCTAACATGTTTTTGAGGAGGAGGAGGATGGATGTGTGTTTCTGTTTGGAATAGTTTTATGTGTATTGTTTGCTCAGGGCATATGGCCATCCACAGCCTCATCCGATTCTGACGTAGTGAATGTTCTAAAATGAGAAACTGCATATATCTATGTGACATTTGCTCCCTTAGTCATAAACAGAAATTCATGTTCATACCTGAGCTATGACTCTAATCAATAACTATTAGTTAAAGAACATGAGTTGGCAGACTTTTCTGTAGAGAGCTGGAGTAGTTTAGCTTTCTAGGCCAATGGTCTCTGTCACAGCCACACAGTCTTGCCACCATGATGTGATAGCCGTAGCTCCCGTGTCAGCCGGTGTTCCAGTACAGCTTGGATTACAGACACTGAGCTTCCGGTTCCACATGGCACAGAATACAGCACACACCAGCTTCCTCCCCTCTCACCTTCCCTCCCTTCCTTTGCTAGCCTAGAATTCACTATGAAGCCCAGTTTGGCTCCAAATTCCAGAAAATTCTCCTGCCTCAGCCTTCTACAGGCATAGACCACCATGCCTGAGTGCTTGTCTACTTAACTGTTAACCGTTCTTGGGTTTTGGGTCACATAGAACAGGCCTCACTGGGTCTGTGGGCTTTTGTTTGCCACTCCCCACATTTGAATTTGTACATCCATATGGCCTCTTGCCCTTTTAAATCTCCTTGAGGAACTGACTGATTTCAATAATGCTGTCATTGCTAAAAATACCTTTTAATTCTTTGGAATTTATTTCCAAGCCCATTTCCAGTCCTCAAAAAGGAAAATTAGTTTCGCTAATTTTGAGTCACTCAAGTTTTTTAATCAAAATGATTTTACTCAGCTTGATTGTGGTCTATAGTCTACTGACATTTCTGAGTGACTATTGCCTGTTGCCAAGCAAGTTCCACAGTCACTGACAGTGTTTAATAATATGCCACAGGTTCTGAAGGAAGTTCCCAAAGAGGAGCTGCAAAGTACTTTGGCAATGACAGCACCCTTGGAGTAGAGATGTGGCTTCCCAGCTCACTGCTGGTCAGAAGGAGCAGCAGCACCTGGTATGTCATTTATAAGAACAGTCTTGCTGAAAGTTGAGGCAGGAGGACTGCCATGAGGTCCAGGCCAGCCTGGACTACACAGTGAGAACCTGTCTCAAAAACAAGATCAAACAAACCAACCTCATTACATGAGCCCTATATTGTTTATATCCTGACATGGATGGACTGAAAGAATACAGTTAATTGCAGACATTAATCAGGATGTCTTTTCAGTTCCTCAATGGCTGTCATATTAGTACCTATATCTTAGTTATTTTCTCACACACCTTCTCGTGAAGATGATGGAGCCATAACACAAACATCACCTTAGGTCAGAAGTAAGCTGGGAGTAAAGTATGACACCATTCAAATCTGTGCACGAGCGATCCGTTTGTCACTCCACTGGTTTTTACAGAGTATCCTGTTTTCCTCAAGGACTCTGTTGCTGCGACTCTTGGTGATCACTGTGGCACTCATGATGTCTGTTTACTCTCAGTTCTCGGTATTAGGAGCCCTTCACGTAGGGGATGGAAGGATGTGGGATGGAAGTAGTTCGTTACCGTGTCATCTCCTTCCCATCCCCACTTGTCTCTGTGGGGTAAATGGTTATGGACACAGTCTGTAATAATTCTGAGCTAGTTTTAGTAAAGTAGCTTGAGTTTCAGTTTTGCTTTGTTTCTTTCTTTGAGATAGGATCTCACTCTGTAGCGTGTACAGTGGTTGGACTGGAGTGCACACCAGGCTTGTCTTAAACTCATAGAGATCCATCTGCCTTTGCCCCTGGTGCAGCAGGTTTAAAGGTGTGTGCTACCAGCCATTCCTGGCCCAGAGAGATTTGTTTTTGTGTAAGGACTCACAGAAATGCCTTACCATGTTTGTCTCCTGCCACAGTCCGCCAATCCATGACTTCGATGTGTTTAAGGAAAGCAAAGATGAGAACTTCTTTGAGTCGCAGGATTCCATCGATGCTCTGTGCAAACACTTGCTGCAGCTGAAACCTGTCAAAGACCTCAGGGAAAACCAGATCCAGGACGAGTTCTTTAAACTCCTGCAGGTATGCAAAGAATACTACACACATGACTTTATACAAACACATGCTATTTTATGCAGATTGTTATATATCAGTAATACTGTATTATGATTTTCTGTGACCCTAGGGTCACAGAAAAAAAAAAGGCCACCTTTGTTGCCCTAGCACCCATTTTATGTTTTGAGACAGTCTTACTGTAGCCCAGACCGGCCTGTAATATGTGCTGTGCAGGCTAACCTCAAACTCACAGCAGTCCTCCTGCCTCAGCTTCTCAAGTGCTGGGATTACAAGTATGGAACACCATGCCCAGCTTAGTCCTTGTGGTGCTGAGGGCACATGGATGACCTGAGATGGGTCGAAGGGCATGTGCAGGGCCAGAAGGCACCTCCTCAGCTGGAAAGTCAGGTGTGCCATGTGCACGTGGTCCCTGTAGGCTGGAGGAACGGGTGACTTGGACAGATCATTTACTTTTGATTTTTACAGTGATTTATGGGGCACACTCTTGCCACAGTGTACATGAGGTGGTCAGAGAACAAATTGCAGGGGTTGTCTCTCTTTCCACCATGTGGGGTGCGTAGACCTAATCCAGGTCATCAGGCTTGGTGGCAAATGCTGTTACCTGCCGAGCTGTCTTACCAGCCCCACTTTGTCAGCTACGCCAGCATAGCTGACTGAGTTCCTTGGATCGGCGGAGGGCTGAGGGCGAGAGAAAGACAAGGAGTCATCTGGTAAAGAACCAAATGCTATATTTTCTTTTTTTTTTTTTCTTTTTTTTTTTTTTGTTTTTGTTTTTTTCGAGACAGGGTTTCTCTGTGTAGTTCTGGCTGTCCTGGAACTCACTCTGTAGACCAGGCTGGCCTCGAACTCAGAAATCCGCCTGCCTCTGCCTCCCAAGGGCTGGGATTAAAGGCGTGCACCACCACGGCCTGGCCAAATGCTATATTTTCAACTGCATAGCTCCCTATTATACTCCCCACAAAACAGTAACACAAACAAGAACAGGAATAAAAATAGGAACAAGGATCAAAACAGGAACAAGGAGATACACTCAGCAGCCTATGACCTAAGTTTGGATTTCTCTTCAAGCAGTCTTTTTGGGGAAATGCATAGAGACGGGGGGAGCGGGCATAACAGCACAGGTGCAGAGGATGGTGACTCACACCACTTTGTTTTATTTGAGCCCTTTTTGTCTTTAAAACAACAACAACAACAACAAAATTCTATCAGTTAATCTTGATGGTGCTCCTGGTTGAAGATGTATCATCCTGATTTTAGTTTTGTGTTTGTTTTGTTTTGAGCCAGGGCCTTCCATGTGCAGGCTGGCCCTGGACCCCATGGTGCAGGCACTTCTTTTGTTTGAGCCTTCTCTCAGGTAGCTGGGAAGGTAGCCGTGTGCCACCATACCTAGGCAGTTTCCTAACTCTAAAGGTGACAGCTGGGGACGGTGATGCACACCTTTATCACAGCATTTGAAGGCAGAGGCAGGAGGATCACTGTGAATTCAAGGCCAGTCAGGGCTAGATAGTGAAAACCCAGTTCAGAAAAGTGCATAAGAGAATAGAGACTCACTGGACAATACTTACTGAGAGTGTGTGTGTGTATGTGTGTGTGTGTGTGTGTGTGTGTGTGTATACAAGTGAGTGTATATGTGTGGGCCTGGAAGCCAGGAAGGGTGCCAGATTGCTCAGAGCTGGAATCAGGGGTCCGGGACTTTGGGTGTGATATGTGGGTGCTGGAATCAAACTTGGGCCTGGATGATTGCACACCCAGTGCTCTTAGCTGCTGAACCATCCCTGCAGCCCCTTGGGTGATTTTTTTTTAAAGATAAGTGTTATTGGAAGACAGTTGTCCATTTCCATGTTGTCTGCAGTGACGTCCCTTCTAACCCCTAGAGCTGCCAGACGTTACAGAGACCACGTAGTCCATTCTTTTTTGTAGTGATGCTGGGGTTGACCTCAGGCCCTCGGGTGTTCCAGACAAGTGCAAGAAGCCTGAGCTTTACCCCAGCCACTGTGCCAGATGCTTCCGTAGGCACAACTTTGGTGTGCCGTGACACTCATTATGTCAGTCCTCAGGTGGGCGGTGTTCTATTCACATTCAGGTTGCAGAGCCCGAGTCTTAGGGACCTTCACTCCTGAGGATCTGTAATGGACAATGTTTGAACACAGCATGGATCCCAGCCTGCAGTCCTGGACGTGGGATTGTATAGCTTAAAAACCATAGGATCAAATACTTCCTAGAAAATAGCATTGAGCATTGCTTCAGTATGTGCTAAATAATAGATGGCTACATTGGGCCTGTGGCTAACATCACCTGGTCTTAAGGATTATATCTTGAGATGTCTGTGTGTCCAATTTCCATTAGCAAACTATCAAGCCAGGTCTTAGGCTGCCATGTCCTCCTGAGGTTGTGTGGTCGGTACAAGGAAATACAATGGTTTGAGGATGTGGAGAGTAAGGGAGCTTGGCTTTTCCCCTTGATTTCCAATTATAAAATAAGTTGTGATCCTTTCTCAGAGCTTCTGATGGTATTAACAGCTGTGTCTAAATCAGCAATGTAGGTGCTAATGCTACTTACAGTTTTTATATATTCACCAAAATATCAGTCTTACTGTACTTAATACAGTATCATGTAATAACTCTGTGTTAGAGAAACTATAGATTTGGTGGAACTTTTAAGAATTTTATAGAAATATTATGAGTATTTTTGGGTACCTTTCTGTACAGTGGAGTTGTTTGTTGTATAAAAGAGTAATAACTTTTTTTTTTTTCATTTCAGATTTCCCTCTGGGGGAATAAGTGTGATCTATCTCTCTCAGGTGGAGAAAGTAGTTCTCAGAAGGCCAATATAATAAATTGTTTGCAAGACCTAAAACCATTCATTTTAATAAATGACACAGAATCTCTCTGGGCATTGCTCAGTAAGTTAAAGAAAACAGCAGAAACTCCCAGAGTTAGAGTAGACATTGTTCTGGATAATTCTGGGTTTGAACTGATTACAGATTTAGTATTTGCGGACTTCTTGTTATCCTCTGAGTTAGCCACTGAGATTCATTTTCATGGGAAAACTATCCCATGGTTTGTGTCTGACGTTACTTTGCGTGACTTTAACTGGATAGTCGAGCGTATGAAGAGTAGCAATCTGGAGTCCATGTCCACCTGTGGGACCAACTGGGAGACCTATGTTACGATGAGGAGGTGGGTTTACCACGACCATGCATTTTGGACTCTGCCTCATCCATATTGTGTGATGCCCCAGGTCGCCCCTGACTTATACGCTGAACTGCAAAAGGCATGTCTTGTTTTATTCAAGGGAGATTTGAATTATAGGAAGCTAATGGGTGACAGAAAATGGAAGTTCACCTTTCCGTTTCATCAGGCTCTGAGTGGCTTCCACCCTGCACCTCTCTGTAGCATAAGAACATTAAAGTGTGAGCTTCAGGTAGGTCTGCAGCCTGGGCAGGCCGAGCAGCTCACGGCCTCTGATCCCCACTGGCTGACCACTGGCAAGTATGGAATATTTCAGTTTGATGGGCCACTTTGACTCCACTCAGGAGTTCCTGGTTGCAGACAGTGTTCTGAGAATCTCCTTTCAGCCTCAGAAAAACAGTACATGGATTTAGGCCTGGCTTCTCATCAGCATAGGAAGCCCGTTTCTCAGCCCCTGTGCTGTCTTACATACTGTATATAGATGAGGCTTCCTTGGAATGTTTTCCCCCACTGCACTGTTTTGATTTTAAGCCAGTTATACTTCTGTTGGGCTATTAGTTACTATGCCAAGTTAAATGCAAACTTTCAAGTGGTTTTAATGAACTAATTTTTTTATGAACTAATTTTTAATTTTGAAGAATGCAAAAAATGTAAGTGAATTTTGCTTTAAAAACTAATTTACATGTTAGTTAATCCTGTTTTCTTAAACGGAATGATTATTTAATATCTAGGAGACTTAAGTATTATTTAACTTAGTTTTGGCTCTTGAATTCGCGGCCCAGTGACATGCCTTGTAAGAGCTCTCCTGGGAGGCACGTGCATGATGCTTGAACACACAGAGACAGAATTACCTCAGACTTGAACTTCAGCCTGCTCTCTTGTACGGTTAAGTTTTCAAAGCCCATTTTCTTGCATAGATTTGTATTTGGATTGACCTGCAGAACGGGTCAAAGCACAACTGAGCATCGTAAAGAGTGATTGATGAAGTATGAGTGCAGGGTTGCTTCCATTGTCCTACGATTGCCATGCTGACGTTCCCACCACAGCGATGTTGGTTTGCGGTAGCAGACTGTGGAGACGACTGTTATGTGTTGTTTTAGATACTGCCCGGCTGAGCTCAGTCTTCATATCACAGGTTGTGAAGTTCCTCACCTCAGACATAGTCATAGTCTGTAAATTCATGTTACTCTTTTTCAAAGCAATTGGAACTAAAGTTGGAGATGCTTTCTTGTACTAGAATAATATAATGATAATAATATAATAAAAATGATTTTTACAGAGAATTCCACTGGTTTTTATTTGCTCTTTGGATAAGTGAGGACAAGTAGGTTAAACTTGAGATCTGTACAATACAGGACTTAGCTGGTACCCGCAGTCACTGTGAGATGGCATGACAGTGAAGCTGGGTCCTGATCTTGTTCAGGTTGGGTTCTTCAGGATATGTGAAGCCCTCTGAGGATGTGCTGTTTCCTGTTCACATGTCTGTTTTAAGCATCAAGTCACTGAAATGATCAGCCAGTTGTAACTTCAGGCAGAACCTGGAGTTTAGAACATAGCTGTGTGGATCGCCTTCATGGTGACCTGAGCTATCACGGGCCACAGTTTGCAAAGCACTCTTCTTGCATCCCCCTATTTTTGCTATGTGGTTTCTTAAGAACATGGCATTGTAGTATTTCTGAAAGTGGTTCAGCTCCACCCCAACAAGGGAAAGCAGGGAAGCAAGTTAGAGCAAGAAAAAGGCAGTCTGGGAGAGGGTCATGGGTGCTTAGCAGGAAGCAGTGCCTTTTTTTTTTTTTTAACCAGTTTTTTTCAACAGGTTCACTCTGTAGCCCAGGCTCTCCTTGAACTCTCTGCTATCCTCCTGCCTCAGCCTCCCAAGTAGTGTAAGATTACAGACATGAACTAATGACTGGCCCAATGCTCTTGTCTGTCTGTCTGTCTGTCTGTCTGTCTGTCTGTTGGGGGCAGGGTCTCTGTGTAGCCCTGGCTATCCAAGAATTTACTCTAGACTAGGCTGCCCCTCAAACTCAGATCCACCTGCCTCTGCCTCCCTAGTGTTGGGAATTAAAGGTGTGTGCCACCATTCCTGGCTAGTTCTAGAATTTATGGCCTCAAACTCATTTTCCTCTGGCCTCAGCCTTCCAACTGCTGAGATTGCAGATTTGTGCTGCACACCACTTGGTTGTTTTTTTTTTTTTTTAAACAGCTTTATTGACAGTCCAATATGACTCATTTGAGGTACACAGTATTTTAGTACACTTAGAACCTTGTGCAATCATCTTTACAACCAACATCGGAACATTTGGCACCCCTAAAATAAAACCCAGAACCACTGATAACTGATTGTTTTGCTTCTGTATAGTTATTTATACATTCTAGGCATTTAAATAGAATAATAAAATGCATGGCCTTTTGTGGTTGGCTTCCTTTAAAGGAACAACTCATCAGTACTCTCTTTTTGACAGCTGAATAGTACTCCATTATATAGATACACAACATTTGATTTGCTGGTCAGTGCTCTCTCTTCTTCCTTGTCTACTTTAATGTGTTTGTTTTGAGATAGGGTCTTAACGTTGCCCAAGTTGGCCTTGAACGTGCTATGTACCCAACACTGCAAATTAATGACTGCTGAGCCCTCACCTTCCCAGTGCTGGGATTACAGCTATGGGCTGGCCTAGAGTTTCCACTTTCTCATGCAGGAATGCTGTAGCTGTGACTATTGATGGACAGATGCTGATGTTTCCTGTTTTCAGTCCTCCTTGATAGATACCCAGGAGTGAAAGTGCTGGGTCATAGAGTGATCTGAATGTTTTGATTGACTGCCAGAACGTTCTCAAGTGTTTTCCTATTTCCTTCCGAAATGCATCGGGGCTCTGGTTACCCAACGTCCTTGTTAGCACTCAGCAATGTTGATGCTTTTGATTATATCCACGGTGCTGGACATGGAGCAAATGAGGTGCTTACTGATCATTTCTGTAACTTCTTTGGATCATAAGTTTGAGGTGAGCCTGGACTACAGGTAGAGTTCCAGGCCAGCCTTGGCTACACAGTGAGACCCTGTCTCAAAAAAAATAGGGCCAGAGAAGTCTCTTACCAAATAAAAGATTGGTAAATATTTTCTGCCGTTCTCTGGGTTGTCGTATAATATGTAAAGAATTTGTCTATGATGTCTGTCTTAGTTAGGGTTTATTGCTATGAGGAGACACCATGACCAAGACAACTTTCATGAAGGACAACATTTAATTGAGGCTGGCTTACAGGTTCCGAGGCTCAGTCATTATCATCACGGCAGGAACATGACAGCATCCAGGTAGGCATGGTACAGGACGAGCTGAGAGTTCTAACATCTTGTTCTGAAGGCAAACACAAGACTTGACTTCCTCAGCAGCTAGGAGGAAACTCTCTTCTGCAGTGGGCGGAGCCTGAACTTAGGAGGAAACCTCCAAAGCCCACCCACACAGTGGCACACGTCCTCCAGCAGGGCCACACCACCTAACAGCACCACTCCCTATAGGCCAAGCATATTCAAAGCATCACAGTATCGCTATAGTTTTGAGTCTGGCTTATTTGCTCAATATTATCTTCACCACTGTTTTCTTCTTTATGGTAGAGTAAGACTCCATTGTAAGGTAGCCATGTTTTCTTTATCCATTCATCTGTTCGTGGCTACTTAGTCTGATCCTGTAAGTTGGCCACCATGAATGTTGAATGGTTTCCCCACATATTAATACATAATAAAATTTAAAAAGCATTCAACTCTTTAAAAATTATTATTATTATTATTATTATT